CCTGTAACCCCCCCCACACCCACTAACAGCCTGTAACCCCCACAACTGTAACCCCACAGCCTGTAACAGCCTGTCAACAGCCTGTACTAACACCCCCCACTACAGCCTGTAACCCCCCACTAACAGCCTGTAACCCCCACAACAGCCTGTAACCCCCACCAACAGCCTGTAACCCCCACAGCCCGTAACCCCCCACCAACAGCCTGTAACCCCCCACCAACAGCCTGTAACCCCCCACTAACAGCCTGTAACCCCCACTCAACAGCCTGTAACCCCCCCCACACCCCCCAACAGCCTGTAACCCCCCACAACAGCCTGTAACCCCCACTAACAACAGCCTGTAGCCCCACTCAACAGCCTGTAACCCCCCACTAACAGCCTGTAAGCCCCCCACTAACAGCCTGTAAGCCCCCCCCACTAACAGCCTCTATTCTCACAACTTCTAACACCCACAACAGCCCCTTGTCCCTACTAACTCAGCAGACCTGTTCTTAAACTGTTTGACTACTTATTCAGGGAGGGCGCCACGGCAATCCGGCCACTAAAATTACTACACATGGCTGTTTAAGTACATCTGATGCAACTAATCAAGAGCTTCATTAGTTGCACCAGGTGTGCTTGAGCTGGAACACTTGAAATACTTGAGCTGGCTAGGAGTTTGTTGAGTGTAATTTTTTACTACATGTTATAAATATGGCTAAGTCAAAAGAATATTTTCACAAAGTTAAGAGAAGAGATCATGACCCTTCACAAACAAGGAACAGGACACAAAAAGATAGCGAAGGGGGAGTTGCCGACCGAACTGCAGCATAGACGCGTCTCTATTGAGCTCTACTCCAGAAACGCTAAAATGTAACATTTCCAGCACCTTTTGAGCTCTAAGGGGACAAATACCCGATACCTCCCATCAGATGACAATATTCTTATTATTTATATAGCGCCAACAAATTCTGTAGCGCTGTACAATGGGTGAACTAACACATAATTGAGATCAGACCACTGGACGTACAGGAACAGAAGGGGTTGAGGGCCCTGCTCGATGAGTTTACAAGCTAGAGAATATATCCAAGAACTGAAAGTTTTGAGGCTTAGAGAGCCCAAGAATGCCTGACATAAGGCTGGCCTACCCCGCCGGCACCTCCTAAGATGGCACCTGAACCTCGTGAGGAGGAAGAGGCTTCAGAGGAGTCCTACGAAGAGGATGAAATACCTCTCTTGGACTGGGTGAGGACTCCTCTCCTTCCACGAAAGGAGATATTAAAAGGCTTCTGACAGACCTGTGAAGGATGTGGAAGGCCGACCTGAGGGAGACTCAGGAGGAGCTGGGCATCATCCACCTGTAAGTACAGGCGGTAGAGTCCAGGGAGAGCACCTGGGATACCCTGCTGCAAGCCCAAAGGCCAGATGGAGGGTCTAGCTCAGCAAGTGCACAGGCTTAACTGGATGGTCTCTGTGATAGAATCCCACTACAGACGTCGGAATATCAGCCTCAGCGGTATCCCAGAGAAGATAGGTTAAGATGCATTGCTGCCTTTTATTCAGAAGCTAATTGCCACAATGTGCCTCAAGGGGGGAGCTGACTCCATGCTGTTATCCTCAGCATTCAGAGTCTGCAAGGCTGCAGCAGCACCAGCCGGAGCACCTAGAGACACAATTGTAGTCACCAGCGATGTCATGGTTCTCTCTGCCGTCCTGGCCCGCTCCAGAGACATGGGGAACCTCCAGTTTGAGGGCTGAACAGTGGCAATCTACAACAACTTACCATTTTCCGTCCTGCTGGCTCTTATAATTGGTCGCCTATGGGGGACATTCTGTGAAATACCGCTGGGGAGGAGACGGTTAACTGATCGTTCCAAACAGAGATACCACCCTGACCTCCTCTAGACACACACAGGCATTCCTGCGACAACTGCCAGCTATGGCAACTGCAGGGGCAGCAAAGTAAGACAAAGGAACTGAAACCTGAATGATCACGTGACATCAGTGTAATGCCAGGATACCAGCTCCAGTTCAATACCTATGATTTTAGGCTACACTAGTTCTGCTTTATCTAATCTAGCACATGAAGGTTAACACTTCTGTTACCATATGTCTTAATTTGTAAAGTGAAGTCACTATAGTTTACCTAGGAGCGCCTGTCGCACCATACCATTACCACTGTATATCTTCATATCATTTTCCTTTACATATATTGAACAAGATGTGTTCTTGTGTACAAATAAAACTCAAATGAAAAAATAAACTAAGGTGGTGTTGGAATTATTGTGTAGACAGCTGTTTCCACGATGGTACAATGAGGTTGCCCAAAACCATTTTGGATTTACTGTATACAAGGGTAGTGCTCACCCTGGCTCGGTTAGCACCCTTTTTTTTTCGATGAGTGTGGTTCCAGTCCTCTCTGTACAAAAATATTACTGCTGAGTTTCTAGAGAGTTATCTATTTATTAACTTATTACAATCAAATGTGCAATAAATATAACATACAACCTTAAAAAAATAATAAAAAAAGATAGCGAAGGCACTGAATGTTCCTAGAGAGACACCGTTGGAAACATAGTTCGCAAGTTTAAAATCGAAGTAACAGTGGTTACACCAACTGGACGAGGCAGAAAAAGGAAGCTATCAATGGCTGCAAGCAGATTTCTGAGAAGGTTGTGAAAAACCAGCGACGGCAAAAAACCTGCAGCAAGACTTGGTGGCAACAGGCACTGAGCGTGGTTAGACATGTACTAAACGTAGAAGGTTTTCATGCCATAACTCTCAAGACGTACACTACTAGGTCCACTACTGACCCAAAAGCACAAGAAAAGTCAGCTTCAATCTGGTCAAAATCATAGAAATAAGCCACAGAAGTTTTGGTGCTGTGGAGCAATGAAACAAAACTGGAACTTTTCTGCACAATTGTGTCAGCGGTATGTCTGGAGGAAGAAGAAAGGAAGAACACTCTGCCTACAGTTAAGCATGGTTGTGGCTCGGTGATGCTCTAGGGCTGTTTTGCATCCTCTCGCACTGGAGACCTGCAGCATGTGGAGGGAAAGATGCATTTATTGAAGTATCAGGAAATCCTAGGAGAAAACTGAAGTTTGGGCATTATTGGACCTTCCAACAAGACAATCCCAAGCATACATCAAATTCCACCGAGGCCATTTCGTAGGAAGAAGTCCTGGGAAATTCTACAATGGCCATTACAGTCACCTGACTTGAACCACATAAAAAATCTCTGGTGGGATTTAAAGAAGGCAGTTGCAGCACAAGAATACTACTGAACTGGATGCCATTGCTCATGAACAATGGGCTATCATTCCTCAATAAACCTGATTTTCAATTCCCCCCCCCCCCACCCCCCGAATAATTTTTATTACAACTGTAAGTGTGTCTGGCTGTTTGTGTGTATTTGTAGCTGTATTTAACTGTGTATACCTTTGTCTGGCAGTGTGTATATAGCATTGCATAATTTTGTCTGTCTGCCTGTATGTGTGTGGCTGTATATCTCTGTATGTGTGTGTTTTTGTACGTCTCTGTGTGTAAATAACCCTAATAGAAACATTTAGAAAACAGACTAAAGTCCATGAATGTGAAATCATTCTGGTCATTTCAGAGTCAGTTTGGTAAATTATGAAAGTAAATTTTTTTTTTAAATTTTGTATTGTGAACTATGCACTTATCCAATAAATAACCAAAATATCTACTTACAGGGTTATTAACAGAACCCAGAATGTTAGCAAACTAAATTCACGGTGAAATTCCATGTAAAATAGCCAAACTGTGACTTGAGCATAGTTGGAAAAATTTTCCAGAGCCACCATATTTTGCTTAAATTATACGATTATGTTCGGTCAATAAGAGTGTCACCAGAGAGGCAGATGTGTACCGTTCCAATGTAAAGGGACACTTCAAATCGTATAACAACCTATACTTCTCCTTTCATAAGTTAAAAGAACACTATAGTGTAAGGCAGTGGTTCCCAACCTTTTTTCACCTGAGTTCCCCTTAGCAGCCTATTTCCATAAATTGGGCCCCTCATACATTTGAAATAACAGCAACTATAATAATTACAAACATTTCACTTACATATGTTTTTCTCTGCCCCAGTCTCTCCCTGCTCTTCCTCTTTCTCAGGCTCCCCTACCCCAGACTTCCCCTGCTTCTCTTCTGCCGCAAGTAAGTATATGCATGGTAGTCCTCACGTTATGACCTACCTGTTTTACAAAGTCTCGCACTTACGACCAGCTCTTGAGCGTGGGGATTCAAATGATTCTCCACGTTAAGAGAACTGGTCTATGTTCGGGGAATTTTCTCTTAACATAGATTAGAGGGATTCCCTGCTCTGGTGCGTATGTCTACGTTCGGGTAAATTTCCTCGAACAAAGAAAAACGCACCAGAGCAGGAAATCCATCTAATCTATGCTCGGGGAGCATTCCATGAACATAGATTTGAGGGATTCCCTACTTTGCTGCGTTTTTCTTTGTTCAAGAACATTTCCCTGAACATAGACCTGCACGCATCCTCACTTACCGACAGATTTTTTTTACGACCGGGTCGTAAGAACAGAGCACAGTCGGTAAGTGAGGAGCATCTGTATATGTATTGTACATACACACTGACAATCATGCAGAGCCACACATATAAACACTGACATACATGTGGATGCACAGATACAGACACACAGATACACACACGGACATACATGTCGATGCACAGATAAACACTGACATACATACAGATACACACAAAATCACTTAGACACAAATACAAAAATTGACACATCTGCATGTGTGCCAGTGTTTGTATCTGTATGTGTGTCAGTGATTCTGTGTGTCTATGAATCTGCATGTGTGTGTGTGTATCTGCATGTGTTGCAGTGTTTCTATCTCTGTACATCTGTGTCAGTGTATCTGCATGTGTAGCAGTGTGTCTGCGAAACTGTGTCTGTGCATCTGCAATTGTGTCACTGTGTGTATCAAACACTGAATCACAAGTGTGTGTATCAGTGTGCCTGTGCAACTGTATGTGTCAGTATTTGCATCTGCGTATCTGCATGTGTTTGCATTTGTGTGCCTGTACATCTATATGTGTATCAGTGTGTGTGGCAGTGTGTGTCTGTATCTGTGAGAAACACACATTGCCATACCTGCAGATACAGACACACTGCCACACATGTAGATGTACAGGCACACAGATGCAAACACACATGCAGATACGCAGATGCAAATACTGACACATACAGTTGCAAAAAAGTGCAACGTCTCGGCCTACACAGAGGCCTTTATCAAGCCTCTGTGTAGGCTGAAACGTGGCACTTCTTTGTTCCAATAAACCTGCATTTCTGCAGCAATCCTAAATGCCTGGACCTAATTTATTTTATCTACACATACAGATACAAACACACATACAAACAATGCCACACATGCAGATGCACAGACACACATGCAGATACAAACACTACATACATAGACACCCAAAACACGGGCATAGAGGTCACAGTTTTAGCCACCCTCCAGTTTCTTATGGGGTGTAAAAAGGTTGATTTCTAAAGGTGCCAATTTCTGTTGAATCAGAACTATGTAAAATGGGGAAGGGGAAAGTGCTTCAGGCGTCTGAAATATCCACATAAGGCAAGCCAGAGCCTAGGTGAGGTATTGGCAACCTTCGGCACTCCAGATGTTTTGGACTACACCTCCCATGATGCTTTGCTTTATGGGGGGGGGGGGGGTGTAGTCCACAACTTCTGGAGTGCCGAATGTTGCCTACCTCTGGCCTAGGGACTACTGTCCGCAAAACAGCTGCACTAAAGATGAAAGATGTTCCTCTTTCTGAATCACTGGACCTTGATTCATGCAGCTGCTGTGGACCTAGAGTAATGAGAATGGGTTTAAGGTTTTTCTTGCATACAGCACTACAGAAGGAAAGCGCAAGCATGGAGTTGTACAACCTTTCTCTGCATAGGTCACAGTGTATATGCTTACACCTGGAGCATTATGTGGTGGTATCTCCCTGGTCACAGGACCAGATTTAAAAAAACTCCAATACACACAACAGCATTTCAACATGGTTTATTTGGTTAAGGGAATGAGGAGCTGTCAGGACAGTTTTACTAAAAATGGGCACTCTGGGGGAATGGTGCCTGTGATAAGGTGGTTAATATTATCCATAACCAACCATAACTCCACCTTGCATGAGGCCTACTCCCGGACTCGCCACCTTCTGATTTTTGTTTTCCTCACTAGAGCCCTCAGCAACCCTTCCACAAATCCATCACAACCCGAGGTTCCGTCATTAGCTTCCACTGTTGCCATCAAGGAAAATTTTATAAGAGCTGTCTCCACATCAAATAGCCACTTCGTTCACCTGTACCAAGATCTAGCCCCCGCACCACTATGCAGGAGGTGAAAATTGAGGCCTCTAACCGAAGCTCTCCAGCAACAGAGAATACGCTATACCTGGGGCCATCTGTTTAGACTGATGGTTCGAAAGGACAATCAAATGTTCACCCTCCACAGACAGTCTGAAGCACAAAGATTTGCAGAGCAACAGTCCTACCTGAAATCCACCTCAACTTACCTTCTTCCTCTCAAAGTTCGGCTACACTCCAACATCTATGGGAACCACTTCCACCATGGAAACGCAGACCATCCATAACACAGCACTCCTCTCAGCCTTCTTCTACCTGAATACAAGTTGACTCACTTACCATCTTTTGATATCCACTTTGCTGTACTCCTGTGGACTAAGTGGCACCTTCTTTTACCTGGAGCTCTCTGAACACAACCAGCTCTCTTAACTACAGAAACTGCGAAGTACCTGTAATAACTGGCTGTGTTTTTCTATAGTTGAATAGTCTTGTATGTATATATATATATAGATATTTCTTCTTGTCTTCAGTTGATTGATATATATACGTCTTGGGCCAAATGCTCGCCACAATAATATATGTCTATATTATTGAAAAGTACTAATACGCAATCTGACGTTCTTTATAAAAAATTAGTATTTATTCTACATTCAACAGGAAACATAATATACTTAACAGATGTTAATTCTTAACGATGTTACAGAGAGTCGTCTTGACATCAGAGAGGAGAGCATACGGATCGTAGCAGGAAGAGAGCACGTAATCCTTTGTCCTTGACTCTATATACCCCAAATTACGTCATAATGTTTAGTTTAGACCCTGCCATATAAGGAAGTTCCCTATATAAAGACCGCCTCAAATCTCTTATACAGGAAATTCCAGAGACCTCATATTACAGAGTAGCAAACACCATCTGTTCTGTTTAACCCATTAGACAGCCACACCTTAATATGTATTTGAATAGGAACATACAGAATATGCAATATTCTACAGTACCTCTTGTCCATGGTTTCCAAACCAGTCCTCAAAGCATGCCTACCAGTCCGGGATTTAGGTGTTACCTAGTTGTGTCAACTCCTGTAGACATGTTATGACCCAATGTGGTATCAGTAATGATGTTCACCCAATCATGACCTCACCAGCACATTATTAGGGTGCTTAGTTATGTTTGCCCTATGGTTCTCCCTTCTATTGCATGATCATGCAGAACCCCACAGATGCCCTGCCTACTCCTGTCACTCCATCCTGAGTCTTTCCTTCCAAGCACACTACAGTCGTACCACCGAGGGTGCCTATTCATAATTTTTAGCCCTAATTGTGCCTGTTCTCCACTCAGGTAATCCTCCCCTGGCAGGCCTACCCTAGCAACTATATTAACTGGATAGCCTCTCCGTATTGTTTTGCTCCTAGCATGTAGCTTTCTTTCAAATGTTGGATAATGTCCTCCGCAAAATATTGTTTTATTTCTTATATGAGCTTATGTTAAGTTACACCCATAAATGTACCTCTACAGCGAGGATCCCATTTAAGACTATCACTCATACTTTTAGGACCTGAAGCCCAATCAGCCTGTGATTACTACACATTTACTACACAGCAGCCTAACACTTCCATACCTGTCACAACAGCCCATTCTAGATGGGTTGGGACACCAATATGTACCACTTGGTAATATTATAACACTTCTCCCTCTTGCCACCCCAGCAGAGCTGGTGGAAGGCGGACGATTTCTCAGCTCTACAATTGCTGTGCATATCAGCCCCACTCCTACCCCCCCTCTGGACCGGTGGGGTTTATCCCTGTCCCCATTGGACTGTCTTGTTTAATATTCAGGGTACAGAAGAAGGCACATTGTACATAAATGTACACGCCAGCAGAACTCAAAATGGCAGACAGGCCTACTCTGATGGTGCCAACGCTAAAGCAGACACAGAGATCTCACACCCTGCACTATGAGCATAATGACAAGACCGGAAGCAACAATTACCAAATTCTTAGCTATGCTGGAGGAACGACCTGCAGCTACACCTCCCTTATACGTGAAAAAGAGAGCAGGCGAGACAAAATGCGAGGGTCCAGTGAGTTCCCTGGGGCTAAGATATGCTGACAAGGTTCTGCTACTCTCCCATTTCCACCTGACCTAAAAGCTACCCGGGGCCCGATCCCACCACATTCATCACACCAGCAACGGTCAGTTACCAGTCAGACAAGGACCTCAGGCTGTACCCTGATTGGAAAGGACTCAGGCTGTACCCTGATTGGAAAGGACTCAGGCTGTACCCTGATTGGAAAGGACTCAGGCTGTACCCTGATTGGAAAGGACTCAGGCTGTACCCTGATTGGAAAGGACCTCAGGCTGTACCCTGATTGGAAAGGACTCAGGCTGTACCCTGATTGGAAAGGACTCAGGTTCTTTGCAATTTCAAGTCTGCGGACAAGAAATTCGGACCATTGAACATGCCTGGTAATGGATGTCCTTCCTCGACAGAGTCACACTGAACACCCCAGCAGACCTGTTAAATGCCTAATATTCCCACTATGTGTAAAAATCGGATGAAATCTTCACCTAACAAGATTGGATGGTCTATTGGTATTGAGAGGCGCTCCTGAACTATTGGAATTTGCCATTCTGAATTGTTTTGTTTTTCTTGACCTGTTGTCTCATTTAATTTATTTGGTCTTATTGATACCTATCTCACACACATCCTGTTTAAAGTGCCAAATAGACCTTGAGTACAGTACCAGTGGTAATTAACCCTTGCACAATCTGCCTCATAGCAGCCTTGTTTTATGCACCCAGTGCTTTTTTTCTTATACCATATCCAGATATATCCATTGCTTATACTCACAAGCACTGTGCTTTAACTCTCCCCATAAATTATACGGCTGTAAGTTGTAGTTCAGCATGCCTATTTTTAATATAAAATGTGCAGTTTTTTTTCCATGTGCCATGGCAATATAACTACGTGTATATCTGAAAATGCTTGTCCATGCTGTCATGGCATACCAAGCCTGTTTGTATTTTCTTGCACACTACAAATAAAGAATAACACTTAAAAAAAGGCAAACCACTGCCAAAATGGGCAAAATGTACAACTCACTGTGTAGTAGGTATACCCTTAATAATAAATACAAGCATGTATTTTTCATACATACCTGCCATCTTAAAAGAGCTTGCAAAAGCTGCATCTAACATTTGCTTTACATGGAAATAGCCTATGAGAAGCTTCTTACCGAGAATCCTCTGCATCTTCCCTTCGTGTGCGTGCATGCTAATGTCCTACAGCCAAAATGAGATAAGCTGTTTAAATATTATATTTCCCATTGTACAAAGCCTCTAGCTCATGTCTCCCATTGGTCTATGTTTTTGTAACCCAGAAGATAACCTGTATATTGTACATCCAGTAATTTATTGCAGTCAGGTCACTTTCACTCATCAGACATTAGGTCCCTGGAATAGAAATACAGATTTGCAGAAATTAAACACAACACAAAGTGATGGGTTTTATTTTTATATTTATTATATTTGTTCACACCAAGCTTTGCACAATAAAATACCTCCCCCCCATTAGGTTTCCTCTCCCAACCAATAAAGCTACATGCACTTTAAAACTTTAATCAACTCTGTCTGATAAAAATCCTTTTTTTGCTTAGTTTGACAGGTATATAAGTTGATGCAACTCATTCTACAATTCCCTCAACAAAAAAAGGGACAAGGAAATAGTATGGTATAAACATCCGATATATAGCTTTTCTTTAGTTTGTAAAATTACCAAAATCTTTACATTCTCAATAAATATTTCCCAAAAGTTCCCTTGTTTGACTAGTGATCATTAATGAAGACTGCCCTGGACTATATTTCAAAAAACAAAACAAAACATAAAAAACCCTACGACATACATAAGCATCATTGTATCACACAGATTAATCATAAAGCACATAAGACATGTCCCTTTGAAAAACAATCTTGCCGACTACGGCACTGATACTGTAAAAAGTTAGATGGATTTATTCCACACTAGCTACAGAACCAAGAATGGAGATTAACTAGCAAAAGGGAATTGCAAAATTTGAGCTAAGCTGAAAAACTGTTAATAAACCTCCTTTTCAATTTAAATTTGCGATTCCCTTGTTAATTCTCCACAAGGTAAGGTTATGTGAACAAACTCCTGTAGATTAAATGGTTGCGCAAAATCTGCAAACAAACTTAAAGCAAGTAGACTTTCAAAAACGCATTGGTACACACCGCAGACAACAAGCAGAAGGTAATTTTATTGCTAAAAAGACAGCCCTCTTACTCTCTGCAAAACAGCTCATTGCACAACTATTTTCTGGGCAAATGAACATTCATTTGGGTACAAGAATTTCGTTTTATAAAGGAATTTTAAAAAGCTGCATTTACAAGCATTTCAAGAAAGCCTTTTTTTTTTTTTTTTAAATTCCTTAAATTCTCCAACATCGACACACTGCTACTTATAAAAACAAGACAATGAAGATAAGCAGCTGCCCTGAGCCACGTGATAGCCCTTTCTTTCTGTATTGTTAACTGGAATCTGAAAAATTAAGCTTTAGGGCAGGGGTGCCCAAAACATAGATCCACAGATGTTGTAGATCGATAACTCCCATGATGCTTTGCATGCCTTTAGAATGACAAAGCATCATGGAAGTTGTAGTTTTATAACATCTGGGGATCTACCTTTAGGGCATCCCCTGCTTTAGGGAATAGCAAAATTATGTAATATTACAGAATATTAAGTTTCAAGTTCCATCTTTTAAAATGTTACTGCCAGTGCTTGGTATGAAATTATCCATATAAACTAAATACCGGTACTTTAAATGTTTAATCGAGTGTACTTTCAGATAGCCACAATTGCACTTGTTTTCAAAAGATTATCGAAATGAAAACTGAATTAAACACACACAAACCACAAACCTCTTAAGCAAGCTGATAAAAGGGGACACTGCCTTAGTAAGAATTAAAAAAAAATTAAATAAAATCGTAAATGAACATTATACATGGGGCAATTTGATGTGTAAGTTAGACTTTTTTTTTTTACTTCCAATCTCAGGTTTCTGTGTTAACTCCAAAAACTCACTGCTGCGGCAATGCAAGATAGTAAGGAAAAGACCAAAGTAATGTGTAGATATAGCTCCTACCCATTAACGTCGATAAATTACACCTCCAATGATTGTTAGCTACTCTATTGCCGATGTGGAGGTTCTTGCCGCGCATGCACATTCGGTTCCACTTGGGAGCTGACGTCGGAGGGGGAGGAGAGGTCACCAGCGCCGGATAAAGGTAAGTGGGTGGAGGGGTTTTAACTCCTTCAGCCCAGCAGGAAGGGGGGGAACCTAAGGATTATTTAGTGTCAGGAAAAAGAGTTTGTTTTCCTGGCACTATAGTGATCCTTTAATGGGAAGGTATTCCTCTATGACCAGTTTTGACCATTAAAGAGAAGGAAGAAAGATCAAAAAGTATTGAGGATCTGGAGAAATGTGAAAGTAATGGCCTGTAAATCCTATGCGAGACTCAGAACTGTAATTGAAATGCTACATTATTGGTCATTATTAATGGTCAAGAAAGCTACTGGTCTGATTGCCTTTACTTCTATGAAAAAGTGCAATGTCTAACCCTGCCAAGCATTAATACCATTATGTAAGCTAATCTGTTAAATCGTATTCTTTTACGCCCTTTGGTCATGACTGCTATTCCTATGATGCTTTTAGATATTCTTATGTAAATGGGAATGGCACAACAAACCAGCATGCTTCTACTAAACATGCATTATGAATCTTGTCTGACTGTACCTAAACAACTGTTTATCACTAATAGTGCTGTCAGTTAGCATATCCTGTTTAACCCTATGACACGCTGACATATCTACCTAAACAGGATTATCTTGTTAAAGGATCACTATAGGGTCATGAACACAAACCTGTATTCCTGACCCAATAGTGAAAATCCACCATTTAGGTGGCTTACCCCCCCCCCACCTCAAAATGGGTTAAAACTCGCCTTATGATGCTGTATGTCTTCCCTATTAATCCTGTGTACTTACTCATGTTTTATTTATCTTACACAACAGTTTAGCATGTTTATATTTTACCTACGTACTAAAAATTGAGGCATTACCATCCAGGCAATGTTAATTTATGCTGTGATATCCACATCTTGTATACAACGCGTGCATTTCCCTTTCTTCATTCTGTAAACCCGAATCACATGCCTTATTAAAAGAAAGGACAAAAAAAACGAAAAAAAAAAAAACAAGAGCTACGGGTCCTTAGACAGGAGTACCATCAAATTAGGAGATCAATATTAATCACAGGCCCAGCGCTCTATATAATGTCCGGCAAATATAAAAAAAAATAAAAAATAAAAACACATTATTTCCAAAATCCCATTATCTTATTCTAAAACAGCCCAAGTTAAAAATGTAACAGTTCTACAGATATACAAATTTACATGGGTAAATCTGTAGATGAATCAAGGCATTTATATTTTTTTTCTTTCGTTGTCGTTTGTCTTGTCACATCTCACTTTCATACACACACAGAATTATGAGCAAAGCAAAAAACACATACAAACACAAAAAATAAAAAATAAAAACCACAAACCAACCATAAGCTAAAGAAAAAGAAAAAATTAATTCCCTATTCAACATTACTATTATTATATACATTTGTTTTAAGCAAAAATGTTTCTGGAAGAATTAGGGACAGAAACTTAGACATTTCAATCACTTGCAGTCTAATACAGTGGATAATTTTTTTTTTTTGTTTAACCCCTTAAGGACACATGACGTGTGACATGTCATGATTCCCTTTTATTCCAGAAGTTTGGTCCTTAAGGGGTAATTCTATAAATGGCATATGTTTGGTCATCCACTATTGAATTATATATACCGGTATATTATATAAAAAAGAAACCATTTGTATACCACTGATCTAGCTCATTGTTATATAACAGGGCTTGCTGGGAGCCATACAGAACAGAGACTAGCCCAAGATTCTCCATGGAAGAACCCAGCATTCAGTTATAAGTAGTAACTGATTAATGAAAATCAATAGTCACAAAAGGAGTTTTTAAGTTATAACATATCTGTAAAGGGTAATTTCAGATCAGATGGTCCATCAATTGTAAAACCTTTAAAAAAAATTCTTAGGACCACCCCGAGCAGTGATATTCAGGTTGCGGTAAACATCTTTGTCACAAAAGTTTGTCATGTGTCCTTAAGGGGTTAAACAAAAAAACAAAACAAATGACACAAACATGGCAACTGTGGTTAAGCCAAGTAGAATAAAGATGAAAAAAAACAGGGGTTGCAATACCAATACCTACTGGTAATCGCTCAATAAATATATTTAAAAATTGTGAAATAAAAAACTAACAGCCAAGTAACTTATGCTGGACTACTTTGATGGATTAACCCTATAACTATTTAAATTAAAATTCTTGGAACTGCATGATTGATGTTTGGTCACTTATGGTCCATATTGCAGTACATTACAAAGGTCACATATTTTTCACTTTCATATTCACAGATGCCTGCTTTTACTATATTGAGGGTTTGTATAATCTCTGTCAAGTTCTATAAGTGAAGCAATCACAATGAAAAACGGTGAAATGTTCATGCTGATTGGGGGCGGGGAACTTTGTTTTCGCTTATTTCACTATATTTGATTTGATTTCATTTAATTTTCTGTTTGGGTTTAATTCGCAAACTGGTTTATGAACATCACTGGTGAAATCCTAATGAAAACACAGACTCTTTGACTGCTTTCATATAACCGAATATGCAATCTATCGATACCTGCACTGTCCCCAAACATTCTTAATTAAAAAAAAAAAAAAATTAAAAATTTAAAAAACACAAACATACGTTTAAAAAATAATAATCCTAGCAAAAGGCAAATACACACACACAAATTTTGAATAATTAAACCTGTAAAGAAACTCTTTATTCCTTTTTTGACAATCTAGGTTTGCTAGAATATATATAGAAATGGCAAAAGTCCTACAAAAGTGGAGTAATCAGCAGGGACATTAAGTTACCATGGACCACTTTTTGAACTTTGTTCCAGAACTGCTGAGTATTCATGTTAAACCTACCGTCCCCTCCTTCCACCCATTAAAAATCATCTTCATCTGCCTTTCAAGTATTTAAGAAATGTAATAACTAAAAAAAAATATATATCTTTCATAGCTTCAAATGTAGATTCATTCATATAGTCATGGGCCAACTATTTTATCTTTGGAAGAATAGATATGAAACACTTGTCTGCAACGGGAAACATTACAAAGTTCTACAAAGAATACGCGAGTAGGGTGAAGTATATACCCTTTGGGAAAAAGGACCAAATCGAGGACTTTTAAAGAAATTTTTAATGGCCCAGTGGCCATTTACTATTTAAAGAAAATGTCAAGGTGCAACTGCCTTTGTGCACTGGCAGTGAAAACCCACACAAATATCACAATCTTTTAACGCTTTCAAAAATCTGTTTATATATATTTTTTTAAACTAATCTAAATGCTCTGCAAAGAAATCTTGACATCAAGATCTAACAAATGCTTGGCATAAACAGAAGAGCTCAAAGCATTTCAAAAATATAGAATTTGCTGCACTAACAGTAATGTTTTCCACGAAAGCAGAGAGATAGAAACAGTGAGAAATGGACACTGGACCACAGGCTTAGGCTTATTGCTCTGTAGCTACAGGAACAGGCAACAGAATGAAAACAAGCACATTGAAAAACACATTGGAGTGTCACACACCCCACCAAAGACATTAACCTGCTTCACAGTTCTAACGACATGTGCTCACAAGGAGTTGGTGGTGCTCCAGACTCTACTTTATGTACATGGCCAAATCAGGTTAAGCAAAAGAGATACGTCATAAACCAATAGACCAATGGCCTACGTATATTTTTCTTCACAGTAACAGACTCAAAATAGCTTCATATGATGCTGGCCCATGGAATTTCAGAAATTACGCAAGAATAAAAGATTATTTTACATAGCAAGATTAAGTAAATGAATAATCGAACATGATACATGCTAGAATTTTTAAATTTTAATGGCCTCCACTTATCAACACTCAACACTAGCGATGAAAAAATAAATAAAAATAAAATCTTAAGCCTTAAATTATTAATGGGACAACGATCATCAAACATGAATGGATTTGTGGTCCATTTGGGAAACTTGTCATTTGATTAACAGTATATAATCGGTCGATACAAATATTCTTTCAGAGTAATATGTTCAATGTAAAAATTTAATAAATGCAGCTTTTATTTTTAGAAAAATCTGATTAGGAGAATTTGCACAGGATATTTAATAATTTTTTTTTTTAAATGGGGTTGTTGTAGTTTAAAATAGAACTTTCACAAGGAGCCCAAATAAATCATTAACAAATCGTACTAGCACATTAATAAAACAGATTACAATTATTTTCAGGAGGGGATACAGAACACTTTTTATACATAACCACTGTTTTCTTCTCAATGGTTTTAAACATATAAAGACTTTATCACAGCTTGTAAGAAGTCGGTTTGCATGGCCAGTTAAGCGCCCCTCTCCTTATACTCTACGACAACAGTTAGAATTAAATCAGCTCCAGAAAAAAAACAAAAAACATAAGGAGCACAATTATAATACCATTCAATAATAAAGATTGCAGAATTCTACAATGACACTAACCTACAGCAAAATTGTAACATTAGCCATTTCAATATTTTTCTCCCAAGGTTCTCGTTCATGCCATTGCATATTCAAATATAAAAATAATTTATTCAATATGAAATATGAATAACTTGTCTTAAAGCGTTAAAATTTCCAATACAGGAAATTCTATTTTTTTTTTTTTTTAAATGTACAAATGTATAAAAGTGTGTGTGCAAGGAGGACAGAGGAACAAGTCATGTGGATTTTTTCTACGCCATGTTTCAGAGGTCTGTTACAATACAACATATCTAATAACGACAAAAAGAGTGACGGGGGAGAAAGGCATAACATCACGTGCAGCGACTGCAAGGTAAAATAGCACCCTGTCTAAATCATGAACAATGCAAAAGTAGTCCTCACAAGAAATCTCTCCCATAGTCTTGTATTGCTATACCTTTTTACAGCTTTCATTTAAACAACATATTCTCCAGAAAAATAGTATAATATTATACACATTGTTCCTTTCAGTTGTTGCCAAAGCTGGTAACTTATTAAATATTCTGACAAAAACTTTTTTTATTTTTAAAACCTCAGAAACAGCGAGTGCCACCAGGTGGTCCGAATGCAAGTAGACTACCTCCCTCCCTGAAAAAAAACCTACATATTAAGGAGGTCAAAAACCTCTCAAATGCTTTAAAGTTGCATTGGTGTGTGAAGTGTCCCTTTAAGAGGCAGGTTACCTTCAAGGGGCTGTAAAAACATAGAAAAGTCCAAATGTGTTGTAAGCACACAGTTCATATGGTCAGAATAAGAAATTTTTAGAGGCTGATTACCTGCCTGAGCTTAAAATGCAGTTTTGGGGGCATGTCCTATAGCAGCATTCAATGATTCAAAGTTAGTTCCATATTTTGTTGAATGAGCTCATTAGTATACAGTGGTTTGAAAGGCATCTGAACTCATTAACATGTCCACGTTCGCTTTCCACTTGCTGCAGGACAGAGCAGGTAGATGTGCACATTGAGTTCATGGGGCATTTTCTTTTTTGTTTTTTTAAATTAGATTAGAAAAAATATTTAAAAATCTGTCAAAACTGTTTACATTTTCTGCAGATTTATGTATACAATATATACTATTTTATTGCAATTATATATTAATCTTGTGTTTCCATCAGGTTTTCTCAAACACCAATTCTAAAAATTATAGGCAGTCATACACTTTTGTTTTTTCACAAGACATGTTGTCTATTGCTAAGCAATTAACTATCTGGTTAAAGCTAGACTGCAAAAAAAAACTTTGTGAAAAACCAAGGCTGCTGGGAAATGTGGTCCTCAACACCTGCCAATTTCTATACAATAAACTGCACATATATTTCTAATATCTTCTGTTCAATCAAGGCATGGAGACCCCAGCTTATAAATTACAGAGATTTAGAACTCTTTAAGTGCCAAAAAGCTGAGCATCATATTTGCAAAGCACCATTCTGGCAGCAGAAATGTTAAACTTCTTACAAAAATAAAATAATTTCAGCATTAGGATTCAAAACTAGAACCCACGATAGCTCTGCACTGGCTACACATTAAATTTGCGCTGTTTGCAGAGATCATTACTCAATGTTGGCAGTCAGAATTATAGATCTTAATATAAAAGGCAGCATTATTATCACACGTATAGAGCAGCACAACACAAACAAATAAAAATACTGGGTAAACTGGCACACTGGCCAGTCTGTGGCTGGCAGTATACACTATGATTAGGAGTAGATTGTGCTGGCTGTGTTTACTTAAGTGAAACTAGGTGTGTTTTGTATGCAAAAACATGGGTTTAGTTTCGTTATCTCACATGACATAGGACTAGCTGCTGGTAAATAATAACATTTACTCTATACACTGCTTTTGTGAAATAGAGATCAAATGTATGGGTTAAACATTATATTCCTTTGATGTTTGCAGGTACATGCACATCTGTGTTGGCATTTCCCCCACAATGCACTTGGCTAAATTCCAAAGTGGGAACACAAAAGGCTCTACTCTCATATACATTGCCATCTCTATTCTAATAGTACAGAGACATACGCTGCAGGCTGCAACTACAAAAACATTCACTTGCCAGCAATTTGGCTAGCACAATATGTAGATAACATTTTAGCATCTACACAGAGTCACAATGCTTTCTTTTGTGTGACAGGTGCATTTTAAGAGCAAGTCTTGTTTTGTAAAAATGCATTCCAGAGACAGAGGCAAAGTTAAAGTTTATCCTATGGAATATGGCATCACCAGTTTAAAATTAGACGTCATGTGCTTAAGCTCACATGTGCTTAACGTTCACTGTAATATCACTGGTGGGATTAAGTGTCATGACGTTTAGCCAGTTACTTTGGGTTTTTAAATTGGACCTCTATAAGCCGACAGTGAAACTCCTGCTTTATAAAATATAAAGAAATGTGCAATAAGGCTGTGTTACAAACATCCCTTTTTTTCTGATTACACAACATAAAAATACCCTCCGTGTATTATTTACACAACAAAAGCATAGTTATCCAGAGCTTGGTAAGAAAGGTTCCTTATTTTTTGCCTAGGAATTAAAGTAGGTAATCAAAAGATCTGGAACTCACAGTGCAAGTTTGTAATAACATTAAAACCACAAAAGTGTGAGTATAAAATGGGGTTTCATGTGCACAGTTTGGACAATAAAATGGAACAGGATATGTCACTTTTTGATTCCATTACAATTTGGGGAAAAAAGGTCTAAATGTTAAAATCTACCAAAATGTCTCAGATCCAGAAGGACAGTCATGTTTGAGACCCCTGTCTTACCTTTCTGTTTTTTGTCCACCCTTTTTCTAGGGAACACCCAAGAAAAATCCCCAATAAAATAAGTGTGAACTTCTCACTCCACACAATCACAATAGCAGGATGTTTATTAGGCCCATAATACAACTGTCCTATTACCTCGCTGCTGAATGCCACCACTATTGGAAATTTGAATCAGCTCCTCGCACACATATCATGCCTTCTGATGCTGAGAATTTCATATTTTCCAAACAGATAATCACTCTGACATTCGTCTGAAGCTACCTGAACAGGCTCACTTCAAAGGAGTGCAAATGAGGTATGCACCTCAATAGTGGCATCCAAAAAGACAGATTCCATTTAGTAAATTTATGTACCAAATTGTATAGATAAAGCAAATTTTTGCTCAGTTCTTGTAAAACAACGGAAATATCCTACAAATTAATGCATTGACATAAGGTTACTTCCAAGCATTGCACCCATTTCTGGAGGTCATATTTACATGAAATGCAGAACTATGCAAAACAGGTGTTTAAGAGCAGAGCAGAGAAGCTATAAATAAGACATTGCTGCCATTTACAGTAGGTAATACTGTAGCATTGGACAGCCAAATACAGCATGTCCATCAAAATGTGTGACACACAGCTAGGTGCATGCCATATTAACCTCTGCATTGCAAAAAAGGGGTTAAACAAGGCAAGACATGCGATTGGTCACAGCAGCCCTTACAGATCAAGGCCTTTAACCTCCCCCTGCCAGACTGGCAAAGAGAATAGGGAAGGGATTAATTACTGGAATCGCAGTTAACAGAGTAACTTGTATAGGACACCTCTGGCAGCTGAGGACTGCATCTCCAAACATGCACAGCCAGCCATATCTGGAGGGCTGCGGTCCCCATCAGACTGACTGCCAGTTGTGGCCAATGTCGGATTGTTGCTTCCCTGCCAAATGCCTGCAGCACCGAAGGTAAATGAAGGTGTTAGAAGCACACCGATGGGGACCGTGTAATCCAATGTGCTGATCTGGCTACCGTTGTAGTTTGGTTAGAAATGCTGGTCTTCCAGCTCAGTTAGTCAGTGAACTGGAACATGGTGTCTGGGTTATTGCTCTCGGTGGGATTAGCCAGGTGTAGAGTCTTTGAAGGCGACGTTTTACCGTGAGAGTGGGAAGACGATGAGTGTGAGCTCTCGCTGGAGCTGCTGCGTGTCTCTGTGCTAGTACTGGTCTTCTTCATCTTGCGTCGTTTCGCCAGAGGAGCTTTGTCCACATTCTGGAGAAGAAACCCCTCTCGCTTGTACTTATTAAAGGCCTGCGGAAGATAAACAGTTTTTCATTTCTAAAAGTTTGCGTGTGGGTTTCTTTTTATTACTGTACAGAGAGTAGCATTGTCCCCATTCTTACACTAGTGAAAAACTAATTTACATGTATTGTTTTAAATTATATGTTTTGTGAATTCAAATACATTTCAATAGAGATATAGATAAAATAAAAGTAGGCATAGATTTGAAAAAAGTCCGTAGAAATAGGCACTATGAGTACCAATCATCCAACTAGTAGCCATACTTACCCCTATCAGTACACAAACAAAGCCTCTATCTTCAGTATTGGGGACAACTCAAAAACAAATTAACACTAGTACAATATAATGTGACAATTTCCTCTTCACTGAAGATTAAATCAATTTCAACACAAAGCTTCCAACTTTAACAGAAGCCTCATGATTATCACAAGGTATTACTGCATATAACAATACACATGTGAATGCAGAAAGATACTTTAAAAAAAAGAAAATCTTACATGAAATGTGGCTTTCACATGACTGTGTACAATGGCGCCTGCAGAACCAAGGACATCTGGAGTCATTAAGGGGTTGGAAGAAAGCTGGCTTCCGTCCTGGAGCCATTCATTGTATCTTAATGTGGACATCTTGATTCTTTTATTTGGATCTACAGTGAGAAGCCCTGAGTCAAAAGAAAATCAAATTATGAAATGAAAATCACAGCAGTAACCCTTACAGTATCTATATTGTCCTCAAACGTTTATCTGAATGAAGTAACCCTTACATGAACTAGATAGTTATCAAGTCATGCATGATAGCACTAACTCTTCATCACCTTTATTACCAAGCTTAGGAATGAAAGCCGTAACCCCTACATCAGCAGTATGTTCTCAATGCTCTCTGTGAGAGCAGTAACCCCTACATTAGATATATCATTGTCGAACCTATGATTGAAAGCTGGAACTCCAACAACAGCTATATTGCCATGAGGGCCAACTTCTGTAAATATGTCTGGCCTACTTTCTAGTACGAAAACTAGAGATGTCCACCAAACCGTTCAGCTTCTTCACATACAACCTATTGTTCTTCAGAGTAAATGCCAACAATAAAAAGAGGTTATCCACTCAAAGCAGATCCATACCTTTGATTAAATCTTTGGCCTCCTGAGATACATTTTTCCATGCTTCGCCTTCAAAGGAGAAGTCCCCTTGCTTTATTTTCCTCATTATATCCTCTGCACTAGAATAGGTCAAGGTCTTGTCGTGGCACTGGAAAGGAACCTGCCCGGATAGCATAGTATACTAGCAGGGGAAATAAGACACCATAAGAGCTCTTTGGCTTAATACAGGTAATACCCATTAAAAAAAATAAAAATATTCGCTAAAGATCCCTGCATGGTATGTAAGAAAATATTACCCAAAAGGAAAGCAGACTTAAATTTGTATTTGTGTGTTTGGCATTTAAAAATTATGACAATCATTTGTAGAGGGGGAAAAAAAAAGCATATACAACATTAATAAGTAAAATGTCATGAGATATATTATATATATATATTTATATTTATTTATTTTTAATAATAATTGATCTTTAATATTACTTTCATTTATTCTTCTTTTTTTTTTTTTCTTAAATAAAAGTTACCCTTCTGAGCTATAATTCCATGTTGTAGATTAAACGCGCCAACATTACACAGATGGCTTCAGTTTTTCCGGGATTACAGTGTACTTATTTTGCTTTGGTTAACGTGAGTGACGAAAAACAATTACATACATGTTTTATCATTTAGTAAGAAAAGTAAACTTACCAAGATAACTCCCAGGCTCCACAAATCACATGATTCATCGTAGCCATTGTCATTTAAGAGCTCAGGAGCAGCGTAATGAAGGGTGAAGCATGGCGTTTTAAGGGGCTGGTTATCTGAAGGTTTTAATCGTGCAAATCCAAAATCTATGATTTTTATTTCAGAGTTGTCACTTTCATCTGTAAAAAGGAAATTCTAAAAACAAAAATATAAAACATTAGATTAGATTAAAATTCTATTTAAAATAAAACAGATAAACCGCATACAAAAACACATAATTTAGCAATAAGGAAATACTATAGTTTTAATAAAAATCAAACCATTATAGATTACGGTGTTCCCTCTCGCTTTGTTTGTCTCTGGTGGATAGGCATTTTGTGGCATGTGGTTCATGCACCCCCTCCCTCCCCCAAATCATTTTTTTTTTCTCTTCATCCCTATTTCTCCTGGCTTGGACCTTATCCCCCTTGCTCCAGGGACACAGTATAACTGGGGTTGGTTCAACAGGTTTGTGGCCTGCCCTCCCATCTTAGTTGTTGCCTTTTTTTGTTTGGCTCCGTGAATGCCACTTGCCTAAACCAACTCCCAGAGGGCTGTTGTTGTTAGCTGGGAATTCTACAATTCTGCTCGGTTCGAAATGGGCCCTCTGATCCTTGTAATATTATATAAATGTATATTTGTTCGCACCTGTTAGACTTTACCACTTGTAGCGGGACCTGGGTAACCTGGCTGGTTATCCCCTTTGGTTTGAGTAGGTCAGAACCCATTTCCCCAGTAACACGACGGGACACAGTTCCAGGATACAACGTTTGACATTGTTTATTGGTCACACAGATTTTTATGCACAGACCCAGCAGGGGGTCTCCATCCAGCACAGCGCACACACACACACATACAGATGGGGGCTGGGGAACTGATAACCATCTCCTGCTCTGGAAGATACTAACAGGACACAGGGACACGCATGAGTACACTTCACATACAGGGGGGTGAACTTTGGGGCTCGGCGCCCCGGGATGGGAAGGTGGTACAGGGTTAGACTTTATATGTGGGAATAACCCTGGGTCCCATCTGGGACCCCTGCAAAAAAGTGATGGGGTGATCGGATGTACAGAGCCAGAGATATCAGCGTCGGAAGTCTGGGGCTCAATGCTCTGGTACATCCCCGGAATAAGTTCCATGGGGTTGCTTGGTTTAGTCCAGTGAATTCAAACTTCGCGCCTAAACCAAGCAGCCGAACTGGCGCGAACAAAATCGCGCCAATCAGCGCTAGGGGGAGGAAGGAGTTTCGCCGCCCAATCCGAAGAGACTCGGCTGCACCAATCCATGCTTGAGGAGGATGGGGGTTTCGCGGCCCAATCAGAAGATAGGGCGCGAAACCTGATGTCACCAATCTGCTGAAAGGCGGGAAACGTATTTGCGCCAATCAGCGCCCTAGGACGGGAGGGCCTCGCCGCCCAATCAGATGGAAGGGTGCGAAACCCTGTTTGAATGAGCGCTCCTACTCGGATTGGTCGCTCGCTCCATGCGGCGACCAATCAGCACTTTGCCCGTGCCGGCCAACCAGGAGAGTGGCGCGAACCCAGTTTGAATGGGTGCTCCCTCTCCCATTGGTCAGTACGGACTTTCATGCGGCCAGTGGGAGCCCAGCAGTCGCAAGGCTGACTCGCAGCACCAGGGACCTGCTGGGCGGATGCGCGTCTCTCTCCTGGGCAGCCACGAGCGTAACCTCGTAGTTCCCAGGTGAGGGAGCGGGATGAAGGACGAGTAGAACCAGGGAAGGGAGAAGTGATTATAGCTCCGTTGGGAGCGGGGAGGGTGATCCCTAACACCGGGATGAAAGTCAGCGTACACACGCCGTTCGGGAGACAAATGTTTCCTCTGGTGGGCGTTTGGCAATACGAACTGGCGGCCACACAGGGGCGGCACGAGCTGCTCATTCCCCTGCAATCTGAGGTTTTCACACCTAGTAAGTGAGGTGTGAACGTTCTAATTGGAGTATCATGGTGGTCCGGCACTGTTCGGGAGACGAATCCTCCCCCTGGTGGGCGTTTGGCAATACGAACCGGCAGCCCCCCAAAGGAAGCACACAGCGCTTGTTCCCTTACGGTTTATACACCTCGTTAGCATGGTGTGAACATTCTAAGTAAACGTTCTAACTGAGGTGCTGGGGTGGTCCGGCGCACGGGGCTACGTGCGCTGGAGCGCCCCTGGTTGGTCACAAGGTGTAGTGCAGGATTTTTTATGCAAAATTATAGAAAGGGGGATAGAGAAGAGGGGAAACACACATCCTAGAAGGCACATCCATATGCAAAAGAAGCAAGGCAATTCACAGTTTAGGCAAACCCGCCACACCACTCATGACTCTTCCTGCATTCGTTATGACTCACGATTCTAACCAGTTTAAAGTTTTGTTTGACTTTTACAGTTACCTGCGTGTACCAACCTCTTTTGCCAATGTTAAAGCACTTTTTCTGACAAACAAAAAAACTAAAATAACTGAAAAACCATTTCAATAAAAACAAAATTAACAACACAACCATCAGCATCAATTTGATAAACAATTGTGGGAAGATTTAACCATTTAAAATAACTTTTAAAATACCTCTGCCTTCAGATCTCTATGAACCACTCCAACATCATGCATATGGCTAACTGCCGACACCAGCCTGCGCATTATGTGGCTGGCTTCTGACTCACTAAAAAGCTTCTTTTTCTTGATGCGTTCAAACAGCTCTCCTCCTTTCAGCAGTTCCATCACTAGGAATGTATGAAGCTGCCAAATTAGCAAATAAAACTTTGTTAATACATGCAACATACATGTAAATCACGTGAATTTTACTGTATCAAGAGTAGAGGGCAAGTATGTGTAAACAATATTCTTATTTTTTTTTTTTTTTAAACAATTTTGTCCTTCAAGGGCAACATTAAACTTCTAATGGCCTTTATTTTTTATTTATATTATATTTTAAAGAGTTGCTTTGCTTTTAATGGTCAACACAACCTAACAACCAAGTCAAAAAATACATTTTACCGGTAATTAATTTAATGTAGGGCATTGCAGAAAAAAAATACGTCTAGCACCCAGGGCACATAGTGTACAGTGCTTTGTGGAAAAAGTCAGGGCCAATCTCAAGAAAATGCAGGTGTTATGTGTGTTTTATGCTTACCTCTACTGTACCCCACAAACCAGCTAATACATCAGGTTAAAACAGTAGTGTAACTAACTCACAAGTTACAGTTTTATTAACTATCTATTTGAGATTTTTTTTTTTTTTTTTTTTAAGATTAAATGTTGAGACTAATACTTGTAGTCACCTTCCCCCAAAACATGGAGCAAGTTTAGAGCAGCACATATAGTTACACGTTCCTTTAATTCAACACCACTCTGAGCGCTGGGTGCTCTGTCACCATCACCTTTGCAACTATGAAAGTTACTTAGCATGACTACAGAATTCTATATGTTAACATGCTAACTAGTTGGATAGTCTGTGGTATATATGAAACATTGTGCTCTACACAGTGCCACCATGTCACATTTGCAAAACATGAAACACTGAGACAGCTTTCTATCATGCAGGAAAAAACAGCCAAAGAAATGCAAAATGTTTTTGGCAACAATAGTGTTAGTTTGCAACTCATTGACTGTTCTAAAGAACAAGAGGTTTGTTCTTAGAGCTTTATCCCCTGTTAAAAACCTTCACTAGCCCCACTGGACAATTTTTAGGATTAACAACACAGAGCCTGTGTTTAACAGGAAATATCTCGACATACATGTACTGCGTATATGAACACCAACAGACACATTAGCTGCTATGGGAATGTTTTGCTGTAAGAAGAGTCCTTGCTAGATTTTATTTATTCAAAGGAACACTATAGGATCAGGAACACAAACATGTATTACGTAACCTATAGTGTTAAAAACACCATCTAGCTCCTTTGCCCCCTAAATATTGTACAATTTTACCTTTATTCCAAACTGCTGCTGGCTTTGCCCCCAATCTGCCTGCTTGGCTGACATCATCAAAGTGTTGATCAAAGCCAATCACAACGCTTTTCCAGAGGAAAGCATTGGATTGGATGAAACGGTCAAGGAGGCAGATAAGGGGCAGAGCCAGCAACACAGCACGGGCCTATCAGCATCTCCTCAAAGAGAGGCATTGAATTAATGCATCTCTACAAGGAAAGTTCAGTGTCTCCATGCAGAAGGTGGAGACATTGAATGTCAGTGCTACACTGCCCCAAGAAGCACCTCTAGTAGCCATCTGAGGAGGGACCACTGGAGGTATCCCTAGGCTGTAATGTAAACACTGCATTTTCTCTGCAAAAAGCCTGAAGGAAATGATCATACTCACCAGAACAAATGTCACAATCTGTAGTTATTCTTAAACCCCTTTAACAAGTAGGATATTGCTACTAGTGTTGCATACAATCACCTAAAAGTCAAGCATGTATTAAAAGAAAGTAGAAAGCACCAGATAGGTCTCAAGTACCTGATCATGGTAGACATCATATAACTTCACAATATTGGGGTGGCCTTCACAGAGCTTTAATGCAGCAATCTCTCTCTGTGTGTTGCTCTCCATTCTAAATAAAACAGCAATGTAAATACATGTAATACAAAGTCAAAAAAATAAATGAAAACATACTTTAGACTAATTGTTTTTTTAACTTGTGTGCATGCTCGTTAACCAGGAAACTTTCAAAACAGGTACTCACAGCAGCACTATTTTTATTTAGTCTCCAATGTAAACGGTAATCCAAATCATCTTGTATAACAAATGCCCAACTATAGCCTGACCAGTTGCCTGAACTTGTAACCCGAATTCCTAATTCTTGGACTGTAAATACTGGATCATACTTTATAATCTAAGAAGTTAAGGTGCTTTCAGAAGGAGCTTTTTATCTTATCATTGTAGTTAAAGGACCACTAAATGCAACTTGCATTTAAGGGGTCAGGTAGGTTTAGAAACAGACACTAAAATATCATTTAAATTAGTCAATAAAGGGTTACTCCAAGCACTATGACCAAATCAGTGATATGAAGTGGTAAGTGCTTGAGTCTGTATGTGGGGAGTTTCTCTATGAAACGTTGCACATACGGAGACTAATCTTTCTAATGAGCTGTAACTCTCTGGCAGCATCATTGTGGAATCATTAGCCAACCCGAATGTCAATTCTGTGCACGTTCCTAGCACAGAATTGTATCAATAGGCTGAGAGCAGTCAGTTAGTGCTCTAAGCCAATGGCTGGGCAGGACCGGCATGCGGCACTGCAGAAACCAGATGCACGTTACAGACAGCCTTAAAGGAGACCAGCTGCCTGGCAGGACCAGGTAAGACGGCACTCCTGGCATTGTAAAGTGTGCTGTAGTGGTTATGATGCTTTAAGAAACCCTTTAAGCAAAAAAAAACCACAAACAAACAAACAGATGTTCTAAAGAAACGGTTTTGTATTCCTGATGGCCAGAATTATACCAGTGCACTTGGCTAAAAAGTGTGCAACTGGAACGCTGACATGGAATTCGAAACCTTACTTGAATGAATTCTGTTCACCAAAGAAAACATACCGTTTGCTGATGATTTTCACTGCGTACTCCTGGTTTGTTTTTTTGTGTAAACATTTTCTACAGATCGAGAAACTTCCTTCACCCAGAGGCTTTTCTTTTAAATCCAGTTCATAATGCTGATAAAACAGGGAGTCCTGTCGGGAAATGTACGACATGTAATTCAGAAGAGAAAGAACCCTGGAATGTTTGTATCAGAAGAAAAGCTGGAGTTAAAAAAAAAAAAAAAAAACAGAACCACAATAGTAGCATTAAAGGGTGCGACATGGGAAACTATACAGTTAAAATATGTTAGATATAAGCTACAGCAGATGTTTATGGGATAGTCCCCCCTCTCACCCATTACAAACAACAACAACTGTATCCAAGTTGTGTTGAAACCTATTGGGAGCATTAAGCATAGTGGAGCTTTTTAATGCCACATTAAGCCCCCTGGGGCGAGTTTGAGGGGAATCCCCTGAAATCAAGGTAGTCTTGAGATGATGGTTAACCTAGAGGCATTAATAAGGTGCAGCAAATTTCTAAAACTGAAGCAATGAGCACAGAAACCAATGAGAGGTTTCTGTGTACTGCTTTATTTTTACCATGCAAATAAGCAGGCACTGCAAATACATGGATGCAGGAGAATGGACATCCCAAGGTCTAGTAGTGGGGGGCTTAGAAATGTATGAACCCCTAACTTACCAAACATATATATTATTTATTGCCTTCCAAACAAATCAGAGTAAGAAAGGTGGTTCCGTTTTTAATTAGGTGTGTTTTCATTTAAGGGCTGCAGCCGAGAGTGAAACGGTTCCATTATTGGCTACAGTGCTGAAAGGATAGTTAGAACGAGCTACAGTTTCATCAACCCTCACCTTATTTAAACATAAGAAAACTTTTATTTTAATAGTCTCCTACTATATAGATCTAATAAAAACCTTCATCATAGCGCTCCTTGCAATAGTTGTAACTCCAGGACGCTCAATTCCGAGATACTGCACCGGGTCAGCTATGGCAGCATTTCGCTTAAACAATATCGAGGGTGCGACAAAGGAATAGCCCTGAATAAATAAATAAGCACATTTAGAATGTTTCCGACAAATTACAAATGGAATGACAAATATGTGAAGAAGATTTCAGATACATGTTTAGTAAAAATGATTTGTCATCTGCTGTCATCAGCAAAGTTAGATGTAAAGGAATACTCCAAGCACAATAATAACTTCATAAAACTAAACGCTGTTATAGTGCCTGGAGATCCTTGGCTCACCTTTAGGGGTAAAAAGTTCACAAACTGTTTAACCCAAAAGTCTGTGTTCCAGCACCAAATCGCTATGCTGACAGTCAGCTTATGCTCTTCAGCTGCACCTCTGCCTCAGCCTGTAGAATTTCAGAAAGTGGAAGGACAAAATGGGCACAGTGATCCAGCGCTGGGACACAGACTTTGTGGTTAAATCATTTTTTAACAGTTTAACCCCTAAAAGGTGAGCAAGCTCCAAGGACCTCCTGGCTAACTCACGCTAAGATTGTATGACCTTAAAGAATAGGACTGCAGTGGATTCATGGCTTTTAGTCAAAACAAACAAAAAAAACATGCTGCTCACTCTGCTTCAGTATCAGGAAAGGATAAACAGGGATAGGAACTGATTGTGTAGCAATTCTTCAGGTCAACACGACCTGCAGTGTAGGCTAGTTTGTCTAGAAATCAGTTAAACTAGTTATCAGGATTAATCCATGCCACCCCCATCCAAAAGACTGGGTGTGAGGATTAGAGCTGGAATATCTATTTACACTGCGTGGGGAGTCATTAAACAGACAACAGCAGACAGAACAGACCTCCAGCGGAATTCACTGCATTGCTATCCTGTCTGCAAAACAAGACACACTATCTTACCCACCAAAACAAAAACCCTACAAGAATACATGGATGTAGATCAAGGTAATTAAAAGGTTCAATCCAAGCTCCATCACCACCAATGTCTCCTACAAAAGGTCATGGTGCAAGGACATTTCCTCTTTACATTGTAACATGTAATTGCAGGGATTTGCAAAAATTGCTGTCTCAACCTTTCCTAAAAGAAAGCTTCCTCCTGGCCATAAAAGTAATTGTAAGGTATGTGCCCACACCATGCCATAGACGTCCCCACCATCTCTGAGAGGAATGGGTTGATTATTTGTGCAGCAGTTTTAATCCTTGCATGAATGAAATCACTGTAAGGTGCTAAACAATAGAACTCACAAACCTGGGGTGGCCAAAAGGTAGATCCCCAGCTATTGCTGAATTACAACTCCTATGACGCTTTACCTGTACAAAACCGATTAAGGACAGCTGTGGATTTACTTCCTGGTTACCCCCTGCAATAAACATCAACAATCAGAGGGCCAGAACTGAATACAGGGTTTCAGACACTTCCTGGTCTGTGCTCACATCTAAAAGATTAAAAACTGGGGTGATTCTTTTTTTTTTTTTTTTTTAATATGTATAAACAGGGGTGGTCCACAGCCTGAACTGCCCTCCCTCTAGCCCCTTAACAACTAAGCCATTTCAAACCTATGTGCTAAAGCACTTTTTAGGGTTTTGCACTCACTATATTTAAATTGTACGCACCAAGACCATTTCAGAAAATTTAAGTGGTCTGGACCCTTTTGCACCTAGTGCTGCAATGTAAAACCAGACAGCCACTAGAGGGCTTCCGGAATCCAAACTGACTTCTGGTCCATTATCGGTCCTCACAGACCTCCAGCATCAGATTTATCCCATAGGAAAGCATTGAATAATCCTTTCCTATGGGGAGGTCTAGTTCGCACGCCGCCATTGCGGACGTTGGCGGGGAGGAGTGTGGGCAGAGCCTGACCCATCGCCAAGGGACATCCATGCTGGATTCAGGTAAGTTACTGAAGTGTTTTTAACCCCTTCAGCCCAGAGGAAGGGGGAGAATATTAACCCTATAGTGCCAGGAAAATGGCTTTGTTTACCTGGCACTATAGGATCCGTTTAAATTAACACGATGTGTGAATAGATAAATAGATACAAAGAAAGGAGATTAATTTCCCAAACATGGGTTGGTGAAGGTTCTTTTTACCAGAACTGCTACGTGGAAGCTGGAAACACTAAGCCAGTGGTCCTATTTATCACTAGAGATGTCGCGAACCTTTCGCGAACGGCTCGCCGCGGTTTGCCGCGAACCGTTCGCGGCGAGCTCCGGTCAGCTGACACATCCCGGCCAATCTCCAGCAGACCCTCCCTCCCAGACCCTCCCACCTCCTGGACAGCATCCATGTTGAAGGCAGCTTCAACATGGATGCTGTCCAGGAGGTGGGAGGGTCTGGGAGGGAGGGTCTGCTGGAGATTGGGCGGGATGTGTCAGCTAACCGGAGCTCGCCGCGAACGGTTCGCGGCAAACCGCGGCGAGTCGTTCGCGGGACGTTCGCGACATCTCTATTTATCACATCATCGATAGATTACCATTGATGGTGGACAATTACACAATCATCCAGATAGACTTTAAATCACTGGAGTGAATAGGTAGCTTATTGCAGAATTAAAAGCAAGCTCAGAACAATATCGTCTGATCAGTCATTACCTGAAATATCCTATCCGCATTCATTGGTATAGCAGCAGGAGAATATGTGGGGTCCATCTCCGTAAACTCCTCAGCAAAATTCCGAACATCCAATTCATCCTTAATTACTGGTCTGAACGGCGAAGGAACTTTTTTTGCAGCCAAATCATCCCAATTAGTTTTCTAGAAGCAAATGGCAAAATAAACAAGCTAGAAGTGGCACCTGTTCATTTTAAAACAGATACTAAATGCAATTACATATTTCTGTATAATTATGACCCACACAGTTGCATTAGTCAAAAGGAACCCATAGGCATTAGTCCTTCTACACAGTGATGATTTAAGTGTGAAGCGTTTCCATGATTTCTCCCTGCCTTACTTTTGTACACTTTCTGTTTTTAGTTTTTGCGAAATTGCATGAACCAGCTAATCTTTCACACAACCTTTTTTCGATTAACTAGTCACGCAGCCTTTCCTTTGCTTAAGCCTTGCTGCTGTAAACATTTTACTTTGTAGATAATCGGCACCTGGACTGCTGCACATGGAGAACACCTTGTGTCATTACATTTCATGAAAAAGGTGAGCCTGCCATAGCAGCACAAATTCTAACAAACATGGAGTGGCTATAGAGCTAGAGGGATATGGACCCCATACTCACCAGGGTCTTATCATGGATAAAGTAACACTATAGTTCACCAAAACAATTACAGGCTATTGTAGATGTTCTGGTGAGTATAGTTATTCCATGCAGGCCTTTTGCTGTAAAAGCAAGAAGGCAATGTTTACATTACAGCCTAGGAACACCTCTAGTGGCCACTAGAGGTGCTTCCTGGGTCAATGTTGCGCACTGTACAGCACTGATGTTCAGCATCTCCAAACCTGCCTATTGAGATGCATTTATCAATGTATCTCTGTGAGGAGTTGCTGATTGGCCAGGGTGGAGTTTGGCTCTTCCCCTCTGCCCCGCCTCCTTGGCTGAGATCCTCAAAATTGACAATCTCAGCCATCTTGTGCTTTCATACAGGAGTTTTTACTATATTTAATGGGGGCAAGTGGAGTTTTTACTATATTTAAGGGGGGCAAGGGGAGCTTAAAATAGTTTTTAACACTATATGGTCAGGAATACACATTTGTGTGCCTGACCCTATAGTGTTCCTTTAAACATTATCACACTATTCAAAAGCATTTATTCCAAGACAGACAGACAGACTTGGGAGTGCAACCTGCAAGCTTGGGTCGCTTATGAAGAAGCACAAGTTCACTGAAAATTCCAGTGATAACCAACTTTATGCGCCACATACCATAGCGGTCAGCCACAAACATGGCTCCAGCAGTCCTGCTTTCCTCTTCAGAGGAAGACTTGCCCCTTTTAAGACGTCATTCCATGCTGACTGGAAATGAGGAGGAAACCCCAGCAACAGAGACAGACATCAAGACTTCATTGTCATGAAGCAGACATGGCAATATTGAAAGAAAAAAAACAAAAACAAAACTGTGCCACAGCTACACAAAACACTGCCTATGAAAAGGCAGTGTTAACATTAAAATGCCTGCAGGGACAGGCTCTTTACACCAGAACAACTACATGAGGCTATAATTATTCTGGTAACGTTGTCCCTTTGAGACAGGGAAGAGCTTTGGGGAAGCAATTGAAGACCTTTTCAAATGCTCCCACCAAAAGTGGGACAGTCTGTATTCTCGTCAAGATGAACCACTACAGGTCATTGGTAATATTGGAGCATGAGCAGATTGACATGTATATTTCGGACATCATTCTCCAAGTGCTTTGGAGAGCATGGCGAGGAAATACTTGCCCCTACTCTTAACCTTGAATGTTCACCCCTGGATCATTCTACAAGTAAACTTATCTACAGAGTCTACCCCACTATTGAGGACTTTCTAAAAACCATGTAGAAGTCACTACCACTATTCAAGGGGTATATATTTTCAAATGGATGATAATTTTTATTTTTTTGACATTCTGATGAAAGTTCCTTATGTGAGCTGAAACATTGATTTGTAATTTTTATGATATGAATTAAAAGCAAAGTTTTATCTTTTTGTACCAAGTCCTTGGAGTGCGGTCATTTAGTGGAGATTTATTGGAAGTCTTGGTCTGAAGTTGTGGAAGCGACTTATGGACCTTTAAAAAAAAAAAAAAAAAAAGGAACTCCCTCCCCTACAGTGATTGGTCTGACGAGATGCAGGCTGATAAGATTGGATGACCTTTGAACTGGAAGTAGAACCATCTACTTCCAGTTCAAAGGTCATCAACACAAACTGCCTAAACTCCAAACAAGCTGGTCTTTGCCTAGTGTGGCCCACACAAGTATTTGTTTTACCTCACTCTAGTAAACAGTCGCCTCATTAGAAGCTCAGGGGGCACTGCCACGTCAAGCCCAGCCAGGGTTTCAATAACTGTTGTTTTTTTTCAACAAAACCATAAGTTTGTTTGTTCAGCCATTCGGATATGGCAAATTTGACTAGTAACGCAAATTCAGCCTATTTCAATCGTACAATGCATGCCTAATTCTGCTTACTGTATGTGGTAGCAATGCCTCATTCTGCTTACTGTATTTGAGCCCACACTAGGCCAAATAGACTTTTATCATATGCATTTTAGTTAGTCACCTTGCAATTTAATGTTTCACTAGACATTTTTTTATTTTTTTTATTCTTTATTTTATTTGTGCATAAAGAATGTAACAAGAAGGTGGACAACATGTTGGTACATCGTTCACAGTAATTCACATTGCATGGTTTTTCTGATAACAATGAGGTCACATGTTTGTTCTTACATGAGGTACAGAATCTGGAGCGTGTCCAACATACATATAACATTGAACATTTCTTTGTTTTATAACGGGTAGGGGTTAACCGGGTTGTATAATCATAAGGTCTTACGGCTTTTCGGAATAAGTGGGGGTAATAGGATGATTTCCGCTTCTTTTTCCTGATGATGTTGTGTATTTCTGTCTGGTAGGTCGGGTTGTGGTCGGACCGATCTAAGGTGTATTTTTGTCGTCTGTGCCTCGCCTGCGGTGGTGGTGTGGGCGTAGTGGCGTTAGTGTAGGCTGTATGGGCGTCTTTATTATGTTGTTGTGTGGTTTGCTGGTGTGAGTGCGTATGGTTTTGTCGGTTCTCATGGGTCGTGGTTTCGGTGGGGTGTGTCTGGGCTGGGAAGGAGGCTGAGTGTGTTTTGAGCGGTGTTGGGATCGTGTAGTTCCCTTCGTCTTGGTCGTTCGGGTTATCAACTTTGCGTGAGTCATCTGCCTTGGGACGTGGGGCTCTAGGGGCGGGTTTAAGATGTGCCGTTTAGCTGTAGGCCGTGGTGTGGGCTGTGATGGCGTTTCGGTGGTGGTGGGGGGTTTCAGGTGTGGGGGGAGGGAGAGGGAAGAAATAAAAGGGAGGGTAAGAGGAAGAGAGGGGGAGAGAGAGAGAAGAAGAGGAGAATAAAGAAAGAAAGAAAAGAGTAGAGATTTCCTTTGTGGGGAATTGACGGGAGAAGGTGTATTTGCTATGGCCTGAAAGGCCTTGTATTTGTAGCTAGTTCCTGAGCGTATTATGTAGGGATCGGGAATTCGTAGAACCATGGGTCCCATATTTTGTGGTAGTGTTTAGTTGTGTCATGTACCATTGCGGACACTTCATCCATTTTTATTGCGTCTAATATTTTTCGCCTTATAACCTCCATGATCTGCGTTTCTGGGCTACCCCATTTTTAGGCTATATCCCGTCTAGCCGCTAGGGCTATCCGGGCTATCAGCTTGTTTTGCGCTCTGGGTATGTCTGCATGTGGTTTTGATAGCAGCCAGATCTATGGATTGGGTGGAATGTCAGCGTGTAGAATCATAGAGACAATTGTTGCGACCTGTTGCCAGATCTGTGCTATGGGAGAACACTCCCACCACAGGTGGAGGTAGGTTCCCTTGTGACCGCATTCTTCCCAGCATGTATCTGTGTCTGACCTGCCCATCTGTTTAAGTTTCAGGGGGGTGAGGTACCATCTCAGTGTTTTATAGGCCTGTTCTTTGTGATTTACGCATATGGATATTGTAGCTGTGGCCTCCCATATGTCAACCCAGTCTGAAGGTCCTTTGCTGGGCCTAGATCCCTCTCTCAAGCAGACACGTATGAGAGGGCACCGTCCTTGATGTTTTGAATTATGTGGGAATATAGTGCGGAGATTTGGCGCCTCTGTATTGGGGCTTGCATGCATTGTCTCTCGAAGGGGGTTAGTGCTGTGTTACCTGCTTGTTTAATTGCTGGTTTTCAATATAGCTTTTGATCTGGATATGTCTGAAGAAATCAAACATTCAGAAAGGCGTCATTTGTGGTAGGTCTGCGAATGGTATTAGCTGGTTGTCCTTGAAGAAGTGGTGTAAGCGTACGAGGTCATTATCTTCATATCGTATGAAGTCTCTGGGTGTCATACCTGGTGTGAATTGCGTGTTGCGGAGCAGTGGGGACAGTGGTTTTGTGAGGCCGCTTTTGTGCGCTACCTTGTCCCATATTTTGATGGTGTTGGGGTCATCCGAGGGGGGTCTGGCCTCCTTTGGTAGCCAGATGTAAAGGGAGGGGAGGTCTCTGCCGAACATGTCATGCTCGAGATCCACCCATCGCTTGACTCCGTATGGGGCGTGCAGATTTTGGGCTTGTGTTATTTGTGCTGCTTGGTAATAGTAGGTGAGGTAGACCCAGTCCCTCTGCCCTGTTGGGTACGTACAGGGTTTGCCTCTTTATCCACGCGCGTCTGTTAGGCCATATGAACTTTTCTATTGTAGTCTGTAATTTTTTTAAATCTGGTCCGGAGATTGGGATTGGGAGTGCTTGGAACAGGTATAGTCATTTTGGGCAGGATAGTCATTTTGACCGAGGCTAGCCTGCCCAGCCAGGCTATCGGCATGTTCTGCCATGTTGATATGTCGTGGGTGATTTTGTGTATGATAGGGGTGTAATTCAGGGTGTAGCATTGGGACAGGTTGGCTGGTAGGGCGAGTCCTAGGTATTGTATGTGGGTGGAATTTAGTTTAAAAGGGTACGTCTTTTGTAAAGTCTCCAAGGTAGGAGGGTCTATGTTTAAGGGCAGTGCCTCTGTTTTATCGATATTGAGTTTGTATCCGGATATTTGAGCGTATTCTTCTAGGGCCTGTAGGAGTGGTGGTAGGGAGGTTGTTGGTTCCGTAATTGTTATGAGTAGGTCATCCGTGTATGCTGCTGTTTTGTATTCGCCCTCCTGTATTTTGAGGCCTTTTATGGCGGTATTGTGTCTGAGGTTCTGTAAGAGCGGTTCTAGGGACAGGGCGAATAGGACCGGTATAGGGGACATCCCTGGCGTGTTCCGTTGTGTATTGTTAATGTGTGGCAGTAAGAGGTTGGCCTGTGGTGTGGCGTACAGTGTTTGTAGTGCTCCTGTGAAGCCAGTGGGGAATCAGAGTTTTCTGAGGGTTGCAAACAGATAGGGCCATAGCAATCTGTCAAAGGCATTTTCAGCGTCTAGCGAGAGTAGGAGGGTTGAGATGTGTCTCGTGTGTGCGGACCATATTAGGTCGTATGTTCTCCTTGTGTTGTCACTAGCCTGCCTCGTGTGGATAAATCCCACTTGGTCTGGGCGGATGAGTTGGGGTAGATGGGGGCAGAGCCAATGTGCCAAAAGTTTGGTGAATAGTTATATTTCCACATTTAGTAGGGAGATGGGCCGGTAATGTCCTGAGTCAAGGTGTGTTTTGTTGGGTTTGTGGAGGAGGCAGACGGTGGCCTGTAGCATTTCTCGCGGTGGGGGGTCGCCTTGTAGTATGGCATTGTATAGGTTGTATAGGTGGGGGATTAGTGTGGGGGCGAATGTTTTGTAGCATAAGCCGGTGAAGCCGTCCGGGCCCGGGCTTTAGTTCAGTTTGAGTGATTTCATTGTGCCGCGAGTTCTTCTGGTGTTATTGGGTCGATTAGCTTTTGTGCCATTTCATTGGGTAGGGAGGGCAGTGGGGTCTGGGTCAGGTAGTGGTCAATGCATTCGTTGGTGGCCGAAGGGTTCCAACGTGCATCGGGGTCGTGGTCATACAGGGTCGTGGTCATACAGGGTCATGAAGTAGTTTTGGAACACCCCGGCTATCTTGTCAGGGTCCTCCGTGACTGATCCATTTGGTGTGGCTATTTTGTCTATCAATCTTTGTGCCGTTCTTTGTCTGAGCTTGCGTGCTAGGAGTGTGACCTTGTCGTAAAAGAGTTGTTTGGACCACAGTAGGGCTCTAGTTGAGTCCCTTGCCATGTGTTCTTTGATGTCTGCCTGGCATTTTCTGATTTTGTCGGTCACTTCTTGTGTAGGGTCGAGTTTGAGTTTGATCTCCAGGGTTTTTAGTGTCATCAATGTTTGTTCCAGGTGGGCAACCTGTTTCTTCTTGTGTATGGTTGCTTGGTTTATTATTGTCCCCTTAAGACCGCTTTGTGGGCTGCCCATAGGGTACATTTGGAGTCCACCGAGTCCTTGTTTAAGGTGAAGTATTCAGATATGGTCTTGGCAATCGTTTCTCTGATCTGTGGGTTGTGGAGGAGGGTGGGGTTGAATCACAATGACCATGGTCGGGTCGTACCTGGAATATTGAATGTTAGTGTTGTTTCTGCGTGGTCGGACCAGGGGATCTGACCGATGGTCGTGCACGTGAGCATAGGTGCCATAGTTGGGGATTTAAGAAAGAGGTCTGTATGGGAATGTGAGTGATGTGGGTGCGAAAAGAAGGTGAAGTCTAACTCTGTGGGGTGTTGAGATCTTCATGCGTCTATCAGGTGTGTGCAGGTTAGGAATGCAGAGAGGAGTTTGTCTGCTTTTGCTGTCGGTGGCGCGTGTGGGTTCGTGCGCGGCGTTAAAGTCCCCTCCAATGACTGAGTGATGGGATGAGAAGATCACCAGGTGCACTCTAAGAGTGTTCCAGAATGAGCTGGTGGGTGTGTTGGGCGCGTATTGTTGTGGGCCGATTCTGCCTATGATTGTGAGGTATCTGCCATGTGGTTAGCGATTGTGAGTTGGACCGAGAGGGGGCACAATTTTCGGATGATGATGGCGACTTCATTTTGTTTGCCTGCTGGGGAGCTGGCGTAGTGGTACACCCGGTGGTGTCGGCTCAGGAGAGGGAACGGTTTGGCTTGGGTGAAGTCCTGGAGAAGGTGTATGTCTGCTTTCGACCTGTTTGCCCAGCGCATGAGTTGGTGTCTGTGACGAGACCAATCTCGCCACATTGCATTGGAGAAGCCTGGTTGCTCGCCTGCTGCCTTTGGACTATGGCCCCCTGTTCAAAGACATCTTTTTTTTACCTGCAGAAAAGCTTCATTCATGCTTTTCTGCCTGGGGTTCGGTAGATTTGTTTGAATGTGTTATACCCCAGATAGGAATCCCATGGAGCCCATTTGTATGAAACTGACTGTAAAGACTTTGGCTCCATGGCGATTAAACTGTATTCGTGTGGTCTGAGCGCCATTCACTTAATAATGTGCGCTCAGACCTGAGCTATCTGGGGATATGTTAAATGTATAGTTTTAATGTAATGTGTCTTACCTGGTGTATTTTAACAGTAATGCTTGTTTTATGTATAAAATGGGACTTGGTGTATTGTACAGTATTTTAATGCTTTGTGCTAACCATGTGCATAATGGAGTCTTGTCTTGATAATTTAATTACTTCTCAATTATCTCCTGGGCAGAGGAGAGGAAGCCAGGATGCATTGTGGTAAAAAGGGGGAGGGAATCTGTGGGTTGTAACTAATATGTTACTGGATATTTTATACCTCCCTGTGGGTGGTCCTGTATTTGCAAGACTGTAATAAAAACCAGGCTGGGTGTGCCAGCACCTCAGACCACTGCTTGACCCTCAACACGGAGCCTTGTCTCGTTCTTGGGGGGATTCACTGTATGCTGTTAGAGACTGATTGCCAGGAGTGTAAGCTGATTGTCTGCTTTTCCTGTTCGTCTGCTAGCAGCTATTTGGGAGGTTCCAGTTCTGGAGTTGGAGTGCTATTTTGTATCCAGTTCGGGAGTTTGGTGTTCTGCAGTAGCTGTGCCTGTATCTCTGGAAAGGGGGCCGATCGCCTAAACGGTTTTTACCCCTTTTGTGCAAACGGTCCGTTACAGTGTCTTTTGGAGGGGTTATTTAGGCCCTTACAGTTGATTGATAGGCAGGTAGGTCAAGGAGGTCGGCATCCTTCATGGTGGGGTTGTGCGTTTTTGTGGTGTGTCCTGCGGTTTTTAGTTGCAAGGAAAAGAGAAAAGGAAGAGAAGGAAAGAAAAAAAAAAAAAAGGAGGGGGGGAAGGAGAGAGAGAGGGACGAGGAGGGGTAGGGTGAGAGTGCCTGGTCTTACTCAGTAGTTGCCAGGTGTCGTGCGGGCGCAGTAGGTTGTGTCTGTACAAGTGTATTCGCTATTTGTAGTGGGAGTTCTTTCCGTGAACACTTCCCCGAGCTCGGTCGGGGGAGGTTCCGGTGATGTGGTGGTTGTGGGGGTCACGGGGGGTAGACGTCCGTTTCACCTTGTCTCGCTGGTGCGCGTGGTATTGTGAGGGGTGGGTCCTCCGTGTGGTCAGTCAGATCCTTTCTGTGGGGGATCTTTGCTGGTTGGTCACCTTGTGTGGTTTGGGTCGGTATTGCTTAGTGTGTGTTCGGGCGGGTGCTTGTGGGGCGTTATGGCTGCGGTTACAGGGTCGTATTTGTGGAGTTGTGCCAGTCCTGTTGATTCGCTCTAGTCGTGTGGGGGTGGTCAGATAGATTGTAGTTTGGTTCTGTTGTGTGGTTTGGTTTGGTTCTGTTGTGTTTGGTTCTTTTACTTCGCTTTATGGCGGGGGTCATGAGCCTGCTGCCTCGTGGGCTTGTGCGGTTTGGAGCTGTTGGGTGTATTTTAGGCCCCTATTCCAAGGCGGGTGGGGTTTGGGGCATCTCATTACTAGTAGTGCAACAGGGGTACACTTTGCATGTGCCCAGCCTTTCACAGTACAAAAATCAATAGAGCATTAACCGTAACATAGGATATGTGTCAACAATAAACATCATACAGAGTGTAATTCATGCTATCCTCGGTCTGCACCTGGTGGCGGGTAGTCTGAGTATTGTTACGAAGGAGGCCTCCCGTCACCGCGTGCCCTGGTAGTGCTGTCTTGACATTTATGAGAAAGCACAGAGGAGTCCTTTTGGAGTATTTTGAGTGCCCATTGGTACATTAACAATGAAGATGAATAAAAACACACATTTTGGTAACATCTGGTGGGCATCACCTGTATACATCAAACTCAACCTCAAACTCAAAGTATTGCCTGTTTTCTGTCTGTTCCCCTTTCCTTTGGCTAGCCCCTTGGTTGCCGTTGCCCCAGTAATTCTACTAGCTATGCGTGTATCGTTCAAGGACGTCTACGTATATTAGCGATATTTGTCATGCATTATGGTGACCCATAGGTCGTTGGTGGGTATTGGGGGTCCTGGTTGGGGTTGCGGGAGGACGTCCCATGTAGTTGTTTTTTGTTATTTTCTTGTTGGGGTTTTTGATGTTGTCGGCCATAGCGGTTCGGGGTGGTCCTCCGCCTCGGCCCGTGCTAGTGGCTTTTTGGCGGGAAGCCCGGGTGTGCCGCCCTGTGGGTATAGGTGGGTGGATGCCGTTGTAAAGGCCTGAAGTCTCCTGCCTGGGGCGCCCGGAGACTATATTGTTAACATTACTAAGGGGTTCAGTTATGCATATATGGGGCTGCTCACCATACATAATTCAATAAACTTTAAACTTTGGTCCAAACTTTTGGTATCGGTTCAATCATACAACATCAAACATTATACTTTGTGCGGTCGGGGACCTGAAGTTGGTGGCGAGTATCCCGAATAGGGTTTCGGGGGTCCTCCTTGTCAACTTGTGTTATGTTTCATGTGTCCATTTGGGCTTGTCCCCGGGGTGTGGCGGGGTGTCTTGGTTTGGCCTGCTGTTTGGAGGGACGGGGTCGTGGTTCCCCTTGCCGGCCGTTACCTTCCGATGCTGTGGTGTTGGTTTCAGCTGCAGGTTGGCGTAAGGTGAGTCCTATATGTTTGGCAAAGTCCTGCATGTCAGATATTTGATGGAGGGTGTATGTCTGCTTGCCCTTTTTGACGAGGAGCTTAAAGGGGTGTCCCCTTTTTCCATTAATGCTGTTGTGAGGGGTTTAAGTTCCCGGCGTTTCCTCAGTGTGGTCTGTGCCAAGTCCTGGTAAAAGTGCAGTGTTTGTCCCTGGTACGTTGGAGGGTTATCCCTCATGGCCTGCATGATCTGCTCCTTGACAGGGAAATGGAGCTTGGTGATAATGTCCCTGGGCGCGTTAACGTTGAAGGCTGGGGGCGCCATGAAAAACAGATGTGTCTAGGAGGAGGGAGTGGCCCGGATGGTGGGTAGTATTGCCTCCGGTAGAACTGTCTCTGGTAGGCCCCTAATGCTTATGTTTTGTCTCCGTGATCTATTGTTAAGGTTACCTTTTTCCAGGTATGTCACCTTGTGTCTTGGAGTATTTCTATGTCCCTGGTATGGTTTTTGGTCGTTGCCTGTGCTTCTGATAGCTGTTGTTCAGTGTGGCTGGTGTGCGAGGCCAGGGCCTCCATGTCCTCCTTTAGGCCTGCGATCTGTTTCTCCAGTGCGGCCGTTGTGTAGGCCTTGATGTCGTTGGATGTTTCCCGAAGCATCTTCTGCAGCTCCTCTTTAGTGAGGGGGATCGCCTGGCTTTCCATGGGCTCATACCCCTCTGATACAGAGCCTGATTCTGTGTGGCCTTGCGACAAAGATGGCCGCCCTTCGTCCCTATTGCAGAACATTGTGGCTACCGACGGCGTTGTGTCTCATCTCTTTTTATTGCCTCCCATGCGGTAGGTAGGTGTGGAGGGTATTTAGTATCGGAGGATTGTATTTTGGGAGCGAGATGCTTTGTTATAGTAGCTGATGTACGCGGATTGTGATCCCGGGGTCGGAGAGCTAATGGCTCACACGTCAGTCTCCATGAAAGGTTAGGGTCCGTCCGTTTCACTCCACATTTGAAAAGTTTTTTTGGCTGTCCTGGGTATTCATGCACTTTTTTTTTTTTACTTTTTTTTTTTGTTTGTGCATAAGTTTAACAGGCGGATTTGCACTGTCACAATAGCTGGTGCAATCAAGTTTGCATACACGCTTAATCACATGGCATTAATGACTGCACTTTTAAATAAAAAAAAAAAAGTAGTTACATAAACAGGATAATTTCTTACACTTATAAAGGCAAGTGAAAGAGTTAGTTTGATTCACAGAAATGAACCACCTAGTAGTCACAGTAAGCTTAGAGGTCAGGCTAGGACATTGCATTACAGATCATAGCAATACACTCTTATCTTTGTATCTGATTGTACAGTGTCATGCCTTTAGTACAGTATAAAATCAAGAAAGAGAGTAAGCGCTAGAATAACAATAAGGCTACAACCCTTAAAGGGAATCCCTCAAGAACCCTTCAAATACAACAAGAATAAAAAACGTATTCTTTAGTACAGTATGTCTGGCCTATGCGGTGATTTGTAATTATGTCACGCTTGGCGGAAGGAATATAAACAAAAAGAATATGGTTATTATAGAGTTTACAATGTTAAGAACAGGTTAGACTATAATGGTAGACTACGCTGTTAATCTGGTGATCTGTGAAACCACCTGGCAAGCGGTCAATATAAATAAAACATCTTGTAACTGTACGTTCCTACTCTAGCAGGCGCACTGGCATTCCGGCTGTAGTCAGGTTAAAGTAAAGAATGGCATGCGCTCTGCCGGCATACATGTATCCATACAATGGAGTACTAAAACGAAAAGGGAAATAAAAATAAACCATGCTGTTTTTTTCGAAGACAAGCTTGTGTCAAGATAGGATCATCCTCTCAGTCCAGTAGCCTGCATAGGGCCTATTATTCATAGTTGTCAGGTGAGACAGTTAATGTCCAGGGTGTAGTCCCTTAGCGGTCATGCTGTCTCAGGGCTGGCCCGATCCTCAGCCTATTCCCAGTCTGGGAGGGTACCGCAGGTCTGTGCCGAGGTGCTGGTCGTGGCGGGTATTGAGCGGTGCATAGTGGGTGGCCACCTTCACTCTCTTGATGCCTCTGAATGCGGTGTATCTGCGGCTGGGGCCAGCGCCGGTAATGCCCTGAGGTGAGTGCAGCCGCAGTGTCTCTGGTTTCACCGTGTGGGCTGTATGTGGCTGTGTCCCGCTGCGCCGGATGCCAAGAGACCGGTCAGGCGGGGTCCCACCGTGTATCACTGGTGTGGTGTTCTCCGTTATATGCTGCCACGGGTGGAAGCGTGTTCTTGGGAAGTTTGGCACTTTTTCCCGTCTCGAGGGCAGCCGTATACGTGTAATGGCTGCGGCGTGTTGCTGGTCGGATCCACGAGGCCACCAGCATGTCCGCCCGACGGTAGGTCACTCCTCGGCTGTGCAGTACGTTCTTAAGGCTTTTGCATAGCTGATCCAATGTCCCCAGTTACTATGTGTAGGGTTTGCTCTAAGTGTTCCTCTTTTGGGGTCTGTCCTGGGCGGCCATTTAGGCTTTGCTTTGGAGGCCCTGTGCCCGACATGTCCACTTTCCTCTCCGATCGGGACGGCCAGTGGGGATCAGGATATCCCCGCCGGTCCGGTGGTGGGGGGTAGGTTGTAAGTGAGTCGCTTGAGGGCCTTTGCACCGGGGAGGGCTGCAGTCTCCCCCCGGCTCCAGTCCCAGTAGGCCACATTTGTAACTTTGCAATCCCGGCCTCGGGGAGATTTCTTTTTGTTCAGCGGTGCAACCCCGACTTGGGTGGTGCACCCTGGGAGGGTCTTGGGCCATATGCCCCCCCCCACTTTCCCCCCTTTTTTCGGCCCGTGTGGCAGGAGCTCGTGTCAGACACGTCTGCACGGCTTGGTGTCCAGGCTCCACCCCCGTATTCATGCACTTTTTAAGTCTTCATTGTTTAGTAATTATGTGGCTAGGTGTTGCAAATGACTGTCTAAATTTATGTCAGGCCCAAACTTGGTAAAGGAAATAAAATATGAACTTGTATATACATTCTCTGTACACATAAAGGTAAAATTCCTTATTTTCTGTAAAGGGGAATATCTTCTAAATGTCTTAAATCTTCTTACTAAATTACCTCAAATTCATAAAACTGTATCATATGCATTTCAGAAAGTCACCCTATATTTTAATGTTTGTCTGCCCTCTGGGTATTCAGGTACTCATTGGGCCAACATTGTTTGGTAATTCACAGTTTAGTAGATATGACACAAGGGACAGCTTTCATGTATTTTCATTGGGGTATAATCTAAAACAGCTAGCTAAACCTGCAGTTCTCTTGTCTGCTGCTTTTGCATTCCCTCACTTTCTCACGCCAACCAGACTTTCTTTGTACGGTCTACATCAGGGCCGGCACTACCTGTAAGTCGACATAGGCAGCCGCCAAGGGCGCACCTTAGCAGGGGGCGCCGGATCCCTGCGGCCGGATTTGAGTGACCGGCAGGAGGGAAGCGCAGAGCGCTCCCTCCTGCCGGTCTCTCAATGTAGCGTGGCCGGGCGGCACGGAACAGGAACCTGTTTCCTGTACCCGGCCGCCGGCAGACTGACAGGAAGTGCTCACTGAGTGAGCACTTCCCTTCAGTCCGCCGGCGGCCAGGAACAGTAGTTCCTGTCCCGCGCCGCTCGGTCACGCTACATAGGCAGGAGGGGGGGGGGTTGAGTAAGGAGGGGTGGGTGGAGTAAGGAACACAGGGGATGGGGGTGAGTAAGGAACACAGGGGAGGGGGTAAGGACCACCAGGGAGGGGAGAGTAAGGAACACAATGAGAGTGGGGTAAGGACCACCAGGAGGGGGGGGTGAGGGTGAGTAAGGATCAGAGGGGGAGGGGAGGAGGGTAAGGACCACCAGGGGAGGGGGGGGGAGGGTGAATAAGGACCAGGAGGGGAGGGGGAGTAAGGACCAGGGGGGCAAAAATCCTTGCACCGGCCCTGGTCTACATGCATCAGGAACATCATTCAGTCATGTTCAGTTTAAGCATTGAAGTTTTATATCTGATGCTAATATTACTGAAACATTCTAGCACTTCCTGTTGCTTTCAATCCTAATCTTCCATGCATAAGTATTTATCATCCTTCTAAGCATTCCACATGTAGGTCTTTTTAATGAATTCAGGTACGTTTTTAGCCATGATGGCTCCCCCGCAATAGAATATTTTTTAATCAGTAGGTTTTACTGGCTTATAGGTATCTAGGTGACCAATACATGTTAAGTTTCAGGCACCTCTGCCTTGGAGTTAGTGGTCTTGCGAGGCCAATTGCTCTCTCCTGGTGCTCCTCCAACCTCTCCCAGATCTCTTTCATTGTTTTTTTCTTTGGCTCTGCTTCTTCTCCCCAACTCCTCTCTGTTGGTGTCCCCCAAGGTTCAGTCCTTGGTCCCCTACTGTTCTCCATCTATACTGCCTCCCTTGGTAAACTCATTAGCTCCTTTGGCTTCCAATACCATTTCTATGCGGATGACATGCAAATCTATCTGTCCTCTCCTGATCTCTCCCCGTCCTTCTTGACTAGTGTCTCTGTCTGCCTCCCTGCTATTTCCAACTGGATGGCTGCCCACTTCCTTAAACTAAACCTGTTTTGAATATTTTTATTGTGGTCATGTCATAAACTTGTACATCAAACATATTTACGTTAAAGCAGGTAGTCACCTACGCAGAGGCGCAGGTATCGGTATACGAAGATAAATGCAGATTGTCACCTGCGCAGAGGCGAGTATATAGGATCATGTAAACGTGCATAAACTTTGCGAGGATTCATATGTCTAGGCTTAAAACAAACATGTGACAGTAGTGTTCTGGCGCTGTATTCCATCTTTTATAACAATATGAAAGGCAATTAATGGCATGTGTCTGGCTAATTATTCAGTCGCGGTTGCTGATGCGGAATTTCTCATCATGAGCATATAACATATATCCGTCTGCGTGTGACAAAAGTATGATTTTTAACTAAATATGAACCGAAGCAAGTATGCTGTTGCAGTGACAGGTCAAACTTACTTAGGGCAAATAACAGTTTAGGTCAAACCTTACCGAACCCTCAAAGAAATACAGTGTTGCAATAAGGAGACAAATAGAGACAGTGACATTTGGTATGGCTATCTGAGAGAATAAGGAATTAACTAAAACCCAACCGAAGTAAGTGTGCTGTTGAATTGACAGATCAAACTTACGTAAGGCAAATAACAGTTCAGGTCAATCCGTAACGAACCCTTAAAGAAATGCAGTGTTGCAGTAAGGGGGCAAATAGAGGCAGTAACGTTTGGTAAGACTATCTAAGAGAATAATGAAAAAGCAAGGCCTTTTATATTGCTTACAGCTATTCCGAGTGAAGTAGTGTGTGCAATAATTTACGACCTTAAACTTTAGCTCATATAGGCACTGCAGCATAAACAGAGTATGGCTAAAACAATATAGTAAGCAGGCATCGTGAGGCTGTGATAGGTCGTAGCGGTTTGTCCTATAGCAGCACCCAGTGAATTCTGACACAGGCATGCAATAATAATGAATGCATAAAGAATAAAAATCAATAATAAGAACTATAACAATATGGGAGCAAGGCTGGTAGTAACTTGTGTGGAAGTTGTAGGGCAGTCTGAGGGAGGCCCCACATGTCTCTGCTGCAGTGGAGTACTGAGGTCACCGAGCCTCCGCCCGTTCTCCCCACACCGGCTGGGTCCTCCGCGGCACCATGGGCACTCAGGGTCAGAGATTGTCCACTGGACCCCACCACAAAGTCCGCAGCCCTCCCGCCACATGCACCTCCCCAGCACCTCATTGTTCCCTATGGAGCGAGCACTCCCGTGTCTCTCCCAGTGCTGGCCTCACACTTAAAGCTGGTACACAACCATCACGGCCACCGATCCGCCGGCAGGGTAGCGAACTAATGCCTCACGGCAGCGGGGACACGGTTCTCCGGGAACCCCCCATACCCAGAGACTGGGGTACTCACTGCTCCGGTCGGCGTGTGGGCAGTGCGGAGGTTCCGCCCAGTGCTCAGTATTGCCTGGGCCTGCACGAGCCGTCCATGTCAGTCCCCCATGTTAAATTTAGCTTTGGCCCTCCGGGTGTGTTAAGCTGTTTTGGAGCACCTCCATAGAAGTGCAGGTGATCTTCTCCGTATCGGCTCCTGCTCTGTCTCGCCAAGACTGTCGGAGGGCCGTTTTTCAGGCGGTGAGCGGCCTCCGCTACTTCAGGGTCTGTGTGCCTCCCCACTAGAGCTCTGCTTTCCCTCCGTGTCTGTGTCGATTTCTGCTAGCTTGCTGCTTCACAAGCTTTTGCCGCCAGTGTAGGTGGCCAGCATATACCCCACGCGGGAGCTCCCGCCATGGCGTGAGTCGCCGCCATGCGGCTGGGATAACCCCCGCCGGCCAAGGGGGGGTAGGGCCATGCCACGGGGTTGATCTCATGTCAGGGGGAATTATCTGTGCGGCGTCTCCCACTCGGGTGTCTTGGGGCTGTGCTTCTATGCGGCGCCATGCTTGTGACAGCGGGCGGTCAGGTGCTCTGCCGCGTGTAGGTCGAGCATGGCCTCCATTGCCCATCCGGCTTGTGATAGGCTTTGTGCAGTGTCCGAGATGCGCTGGGGGCTGTTCCCGGTTAATTGCGGTCGGGATATCCGACTTTTAAGCTGTCTGGAACGGCTTTTTGTGCCTTTTTGCTTGGGTTAGTGCTGGAGCCCATGCATATGGCATCTATTCGGCCCGACGGCCCGACCCCACCCCCCCCAAAACTAAACTTGACCAAAACTGAAATTCTGGTCTTTCCTCCCTCAAGTGTTGCTACTCCTGTGTCTGTCTGTCTCCAAGTCAACAGTGCCAACATCAGCTGCACCACGCAGGCTCGCTGCCTAGGTGTTCTCTTTGACTCCGACCTCTCCTTCAAGCCTCATGTTCAGTCTGACGCAAAATTCTGCCGCTTCCATCTCAAAACCATTGCGCGCATCCGACCCTATTTAACGACAGATGCGACTAAGGTACTGGTCCATTCGACTGTTCTTTCTCGCCTTGACTAATTTAATCCGTTTCTCAGTGGTCGTACGTGCTCCCAACTTGCGCCGTTACAGTCCATAATGAATGCGGCGGCGAGGCTCATCTTCCTGTCCGCCCACACCTCACCCTTCTGTCAGTCCATACATTGGCATCTTGTAAGATATATGACTCAATTTAAAATTCTGGTTCTTGCTTTCAAATCCCTACATAATGCTGCTCCCACCTATCTATGCTCCCTAATACACAAGTATGTCCCGTCTAGGCCCTTACGCTCTGCTGCAGACTTGCGTCTATCTTTGGTCCGTACTCCCACCTCTGACGCTCGCCTTCAAGACCTCGAGGGCTGTGCCGTTCCTGTGGAACTCACTTCCCTCGTCCGTTAGATGCTCACCCTTCTCCACTCCTTCAAAAAAATCATTAAAAACCCACTTCTTCACAAAAGCGTATCAATTAAACTGTTAATAGCTCCCGACTGATTCCTCTCTTGCCACTGTCATTAGTCTAATACTATCCTTACCTTTTGTGTCACCTTACCCCACTCCCTCTAGCATGTAAGCTCATTGAGCAGGGCCCTCATCCAGTCTGTTCCTGTGTGTCTTGTTACAACTAGATGTCTGTTCGTCCACCCACTAAAGCGTTGCAGAATTTGTTGGCACTATATAAATAACATAATAATAATCCTCCACACATGAGGTATTACACCCCACGGGCCAATGCATAGTTAGCCGCCTCGCACAGTGGCATAGAGAGGGCCTCACTTGTCACACCCAATATCTCATAATTTATTTGTCACCGAGAGGCCAACACCCCACCACAACATTCGGTGTCCACGAATTCCCTCGCGCCAAAGCATAGATAGCACCTCTCAAGCCACTTGGCAACTAGCAGGGGCTCACCTGTCACCAACCAGTGAATTGCTTTGCCACTGGACACTAGCTAGCCAGCCAATAAAACGATCCAGATCGAAGCTAATTATTAATATATTGCAGTAGGTCTCAGATCTCTGTAAGAAGGTGATGACATGTCAATCCCCAGTACTCCAGTCTGGTCCACTACACCTGCACGAAAAGGTGACACCTATCAGGTTCTATCAGATCACGGACCATTCTTCATATTACGGCTGAGCTACACAGACACAACGTTCCTTTCCCAGAAATTCCCGTGAAAGCGTAACTGTTCAGGCTCATGCGTACCAATTCGGACAATGCTGATGCTGGAGTAGGCATAAGTTGCTCGAGCAACACCAACCTCCATGCAACATTCTCAGCACTCGTGTCCTCTAAGAGGACAATAAATGAGACTGGAGAGACTAAAAATGAGATGTCGAACCATGCAGTCAACAGGACGCTGACCCTCGCAGGGTACTCCGTACGCATACAATCATAACACAATTCAATATTGGGCATGTGCGCCTGTACGTCCAGATATCAAACGGATATTGACTTTCTATCATGCTATCAAACTTTCTGTCTGAAAGTTTTTACACGAATAGGTGAATTAGGATATAGACATATATCAGACATATTGTGACATCATTATTATACTAAAACATGTCACCTTTAAAGGACCACTATTGGCACCCAGACCACTTCAGCTTAATGAAGTGGTCTGGGTGCCAGGTCCATCTAGGGTTAACCTTTTTTTTTTTTTAATAAACATAGCTGTATAGAGAAACTACTATGTTTATGTTAGGGTATATCCAGCCTCCAGTGGCTGTTTCTTGACAGCTGCTAGAGGCGCTTGCGTGCTTCTCACTGTGAAAATCACAGTGATAAGACACCAGTGTCCATAGGAAAGCATTGAGAATGCTTTCCTATGGACTGGCTTAATGCGCGCGCAGCTCTTGCCGTGCATGCGTATTCAGCCGAAGGGGAGGTGAAGATGGAGGAGAGCTCCCTGCCCGGCGCTGGAAAAAGAGGTAAGTTTAACCCCTTCCTCTCCATCCAGCCCGGCGGGAGGGGGTCCCTGAGGGTGAGGGCACACTCAGGGCACTAAAGTGCAAGGAAAACGAGTATGTTTTCCTGGCACTATAGTGGTCCTTTAAGTTGAGCCAACCCTACCTCGTACTCATAGAAGTAGCCATGGCGGGCCCGCCACAGCTGATTTAATCGGTTTCTACTAACTGTATGTTTGGTCTTTCAGGGCGATTTTCACTTCTATCATATTCAGCATTTATTTAATACGTAGCTTTACATCGATACCTTCTTCAGCTTCCAGTATTAGGCCTCTTACTGGAACAAATCAATTTCTATTGTATGTCTTGGCCCCCTACATGGCTGAGTGTCGCTATTGACTGGATCAATCATGTCAAGCCCAACTTGGGCTACAGCATACGTCGGTTTCGGCACACCTCAACCAACTTTTTCCTATCACAGGTTTGCCAACAACAATCTTACTTCATATCATAATCAATGTTGCCCCAAACACAAATTGGAAGGCTTGGCCTGAAGTTGAGGAAGGGGCTTATGGACCTATAAAAGGGACTCCCCCCTTCCCTACTGTGATTGGTCTGATGAGATGCTGCCCCACCCTCCACTCCCCTTATTCACCATACTATTCTAGTGTAGGCTCACTTTAGTTACTGGCCTACAGCATACGTCGGTTTTGGCACACCTTAACCGACTTTTTCCTATCACAGGTTTGCTAACAACAATCTTACTTCATATCATAATCAATGTTGTCTCGAACACACACACATATATATATATATATATATATATATATATATATATATATATGCAGGCAGCAGCAGTACATACATAAGCACAGCAGTATATACATACACATATATATGGCAGTGGTGCAGCATACACATATATATATACATATGCTACATATATATACATACATACATATACATAAGCAGTATACATAGTACATAGCATATAGTAGTAGCAGGCATATATATATATATATATACATAAGCAGCAGCAGGCAGGCATAAGGGTGCAGCAGCAGCAGCATACATATGCAGCAGCACATACATAGCAGCAGCAGCACATGTTACAGCAGTACATACATACATATATATATATATATACATATACATACAGCAGCATACATATATATACATACATGCAGCAGCATACATATATATACATACACATATGGCATATACATATATATATATACATATACATATACATATATATACATATACATATATATACATATATATATACACACACACACACACACACACACACACACACATACATATATATATATATATATACATACATACATACATACATACATACATACATACATACATACATACATACACACACACACACTTTATTTTTTTTCTCCTCTGTTTAATGCACTCTTGGAGATTTTTAAATTAAAAATCAGCTTAAGGCAAATGAGCTTCCATCTCCAGGAAAGAAGAGGTGATATTTTTAGAAATAAAATAGCAAGTGTTCAAAATGCTCCAGAGAACAGCTAAATCTTCAATCACATTAAGTTCTTCTACAGCGATCAATGCTTCTCACAGAATAGCACAATGCATTAGAACACATGCCGCTTGCACAGAACACCAAGCATCCAACTTTCAGCAGGATGCTCCAAAGATGAAAAAACACCTCACCTCGAAAAAGCAATGTTTTTTTATTTCATCTGAGCCTTCTGGTCCACAGCCTAATCTCTTCTTTGGATCTTTCCTTAAAAGAGATTTTATCAAATCCTTTACCGCTTCACTCATTTCTGGAGGATAAGGAGGGTCATTTTTTAATATTCTCCTGGTGCAAACAAACAAACCACACACAAAAAGGGAAAAAACAGAAAAGAAGCTTATGAGAAAAACATTTTTTTCATTAAATAAATGTATGGCTTTTCAGATCAAATGTGGATTATTTACCTGGAAATCTCAGCCTGAGAATTCTTCTCTCCATCAACTGTGAATGGCGATGCCCCAGTTAATAACTCGTATGTCAAAACACCTAAGCTCCACCAGTCCACTGCCTGGAAAAAATTGATTTATTCAACAAGAGCAACACACAAACACAATATGAGGATTACGCTCAATCCAAATTATTTTCTTAAAAAAAATAAAACCAGTATTTTATTAATGCAATCCATTATTCTGCCTCCGAGTACAGATGTTCTACATGTTTCAAAAGGGCACTATAGACTGGAGTTAATTTTGCACCTTTTGTGAGCAGTTACATACATGATATATAAAGTGCATAAAAAAAATAATTTAAAAAGATATGCACTTTTGCAGAGATACTCATTTTGCTGTAAATCCCCAGATATTACAAAATCTACTAAAACCAGGAAATTACACAGTTCTCAAAAATAATAATGGCCCTCCCTAGCTTTTCAGTGGGAAAACTGTGACTATCTGGTTAACCCTGCATAGCAGATGATAAGAAATATGGAGTTCAGATGTCAGCTTTTGTATAGAATGCTGTATAGCAAGTTGGCAGCCAGGCATCTAAAAGTTTCATTCACAAAAAAAAAAACAAATGTAATAAAA